TCTTCTCTTGTAATTGCGTAGTTCTGGTTCTATTTTAGGCTTAAATCTAAAATGATTTGGTTTTTTGATAGTAAACCATTGCAGTTCTTGGTGCTATATGGTCTGAAAAGTTTCATGTGCCTATGGAATAAAGCTATATGTTGTGGATCTGTTTGGCACATTTAGTACAAGGAGCTTAACACCCGAGAGGAAATTCTTATCCTTAAATGAGCTCAACATCAAAGCACATTTGTAATCATTAGACAGAGCTTTTTGCCATAAGAAGCCTTATGGCAAAAAGCTGATTCTCTTACTGATTCTAGAGCAATAGGAACAGCATTAGGGTTGAATTGAAATTGCAAACAGGTTCAAGTAAATCAGTAACCATGGGGTTTTAGTTTCCTTATACCAAAATAATTGTTTCATGTTATAAATCACTGCAAGCAAGCGGTAGGAGTTAAAGTTTGCAAGCCGTGCATGGTGAAAGACTCAGCTGTTTTTTTGTGATGACCATGTTTACTGTACTCTGCTATCGCTGTGGCACAGAGAGGCACTTACTACGGCGAGTCTAAGTGGTTCTGTGTGGGCTGAAAACCAAATGTGCAAAACAAGCTGGTCGACAGGTGTGGCAGATGTGACAGATGTGACAGATGTATACACACAGGGATGGGCCGAAGGACACACTGGCATCTCTCTGCGATATAGAGTGATGTGACTGAGGAATATATACTGGTAATACTGGACTCAGACTTAAATTTTAATAGCCACACCAAATCAGTAACATCAGCAGCTTTTTACCATCTAAAAAACATTGCCAGGATCAAAAACATAGTGTCTAAAGCAGACTTGGAGATTCTTATCCATGCATTTGTCTCCAGTAGGTTAGACTACTGCAATGGCCTGCTCACAGGTCTGTCCAAACAGGCTGTAAAACAGCTGCAGTACATTCAAAATGCAGCAGCTCGAGTCCTGACTAGAACCAGGAAGTACGACCACATTAGTCCGGTCCTCAGGTCTCTGCACTGGCTTCCTGTGGCTCAGAGAATAGACTTTAAAACAGCTCTGCTTGTGTACAAGTCTCTCCATGGCCTCGCACCAAAATATATTAGTGACATGTTAGTCCCATATGAACCAGCCCGGACTCTGAGGAGCACAGGGACTGGACTCCTGTTAGTGCCCAGAGTCAGAACTAAACATGGGGAGGCTGCTTTTCAGATTCATGCTGCTAAAATCTGGAACAGTCTTCCTGAAAGTGTGAGACAGGCCTCCTCGCTGACAATGTTTAAAACCAGGTTAAAGACAGTTCTGTTTAACTGTGCATACAACTGAGGAATTTTATATTTTTATCTTTCTTTTTAATGTTCTGTGATTATTTGTGATTTTAAAGCTATCTTATTTTGTTCAGCACTTTGAATTGCCTTGTGTATGAATTGTGCTATATAAATAAACTTGCCTTGCCTTGCCTTGCCTATATGAGACAAGTAAGCCAGGAAAGTAGTGAGAGCTGCTGCTTGTGTTTGAGTACATTTCCTGTTTGCTATCTCCATATATGTAGCAGTATTTCTCTCTCTACACATATGCTACTTATTTTATTCATTTTGTCATTCCTCATTTAGAAACATTGAAATTGTGTTTTTGGTCATGTATAAGTCCTTGTTTCACCCTCGTTTACACCCAGAAAAGTCCTGTTTTAGACCTGTTTTTTGATATGCTTGTTGTGGTAAAGCCAAATATATTGATACTCAGAAAGCCAAAAAGCCATCACAGTACTAACCAGGCCCTGCCTTGCTTAGCAGTTGAAATTTGACAGGAATAGGCTTTTGCATGCAAACGCTCTCAAGGGGCTTTTGAGTTGCTCATATATATGCCAAGTCAATTTGACCCAAGGACAGCAGAAGCATATCTTCTACTGCACCTCACCCACTTCTGATCTCTGATTTTTCTGATGAACAATGCATGCAGTGGTTCTGACAGTTTGACCCCTTTACGCAGCTTAGAGGAAACGGATTTAGGGCCTTCTCTGCACAACATGTTACCATATGATAATCTTGACGGGCTTTTAGATCAATATAGAATGTAACATGTAAACTGAATGAAGCCATACACAAGTGTAATTTCTTGTAACTTGCTGGTGAACAGTAGAGGATGAGTGCTTATGCAACTATAGATGCTAGAGATCCAAATATAGCCTCCATTAGGGGATTAGCCAGGGTCCGGTTGGCTCTTGTGTGGCTCGTGGACGTCTTTGCCGCTGGTCGCATCCTGCTCCCTGTCGTCTGTTATCTGAGAGTCTACTATAACACTGAGCATGGCTCTATATGACCTAACAACATTACTGCTATAACTGGACGCTTTAACCGGCCTTTTATGAAGGGATGTCAATATTTAGTATTAAGTCGATTGTCATTGATTTCTTAGTCGGGCACATTTTGTATTTGTAAACTAATTATTTTGTATTTCAATTATAAGGATTTCAATGTGAAAAGCTGCAAAAATGAAAAGAACTGTGCAAAATGGCTGAAATAAAGAAAGGTTTATATTTTCATGAGTTATTGTCATGTTGGTGCAATATTCCAAAACAACTCTAAAATGAAGTGCAGAAGTTTCACCAAACTATGTCTATAAGTAATCCATCAGTATTTTACTACTCACTCTACACTGCTAACTAGTGCCATGTCAAAGCTAATCAGGTGTTAGCCCCTTCTCTTGATCCTTAGGCCAATTTGGGGGTTATTGCTAAATGCCTTGATGGATATTGATGGGAATTTGATTATTTTGAAGAAGAGGAAGAGCGTGTTTTTTTACATTTAAATGAAGTACTTACTAATATGTGTTTAAAGCGATATAATTTCTGTTTCAGTCCCTGTTGTTACATTGGCTAATAGGAGTGTTGTGCTTGGATCTTTTTTTCCGGCAGGTTTCAATCTCTAAGTAGCCGCCCTTGCTCTGGACATATTAAGCCTAAACAGATGGTTCAGTGTGACATGTTATGGCTTAATAAGCACTAGGGTCCTCGTCTATGGAGCTGTCTGCCGGAGTTCATGATTATAAAAGCAGGCTCAAGACACAGCCTCTGAGCTTATCATTCATATTTATTATTTTCAGTTTTTATCCATCCTGGTTTTTGTATTTATAGTGTGTTTTTGCACTTGCTCTCTGATACTGTAATAATAGTTCATATCGTGAAGTGTTTCTCTCAGTAAGATCTTGCAGGCCTTGTCACATTTGCTTGTGCAGTGTGTGATATTAGATTATTGCTGACATAGTGAGATAGTAGTGGGCAGGTGAGGATAGTTTGCTTGTTCTCCCTGTTTTTAGTTAAATGGTCCAATCTATAATAGACTACCTCCCTCTAATGGCAGCCCAAGTCTCATCCTATATTTGGTCTTTTTGGCTCATGATACAAAAGAGCTTGTCCATATAACGTCCTACTCGTATGCATTTTAAACTAAATCTCGTTATGGAGCACAAGTTCTTGGACAACTTGTTTCACTGCTGATCATGGGTTTGCGAGCTCTTACGTGGAAGGTAATGTCCATTATTAAGGATCAGATTGGTTGTTTTGTATTTATGGAGCTGAAGTTAGTTTGTGCATCGCAGAGAGCTGGTGTTGAGGAGGGAGTGTTGATTGGACAGTGTTGAGCAGAAGGTGAAGAACACATGCTGAGATTTGGCAAAAGAATATGCCACCACCTCTCATTATAGAAGCAACTTAGTGCATCCAAGAATTAAGATCATGTATTATAAATCTTAATATTACTTCCCAATTAGTCGGTTTGATGTTGTTTTTGGATGCCAAATGACACTATGCCAGGCCAATATCACATCCTGCCAACTAGTTCTCACTCTTAAAAATTGCACCTCTACCAACACCACACTTATAGATCATTTTACTCGCACACATTTTACTACTTAAATAACAGTGTATAGAGTTGGGTAAACTGGATTTCCTTTGGCTAGCAGTGTAGCGGGTCTGATTTTCTACGCTCCGCGTTGTGTTGATTTGTGTTGTGGTGCGGAGGAACACACGGGAGACAAGATTTCGAGGTGTTTTTTTATCTGGTAACAAAATCAAAATTCTATTAACATGTGCCTCTGAATCAGTCCCAGCCAAAACTAAAATGACAAAGAGTGAATAGCTACAAAATTGTAATTGAAATAGAAATTTTGAGACATAAAAACATAAAGCGACTGACCTCTTCCCTGACACAGGATTTCAAAGGGAAGAGGCAGCGGGAGACAGGGGGCTGGAGGACCAAAGCTGCACAACAAATCAAAGACCAGGACTAAAAAACAATTATGAAATAACTTGTAATAAAAATACAATAATAACCGTGTAACTCACATAACACTTAATACAAAAATAAAAAAACACTGTAAAGTTTTGAGAGAGCTCACTAAAGTTATTAACTTTGCTGCACCAGCATTTAATTTTCTATTGGCAGATAAAAGCACAAATATATATATCCATATATTGGCCACTTACCTCATTCAGTTTATAGTTGCCTAGTTTGACCTCGGTCTACAAATACAGACACAGGGTGAGCTGTCATTCAAGCTCTTCAAAGCATGAAATATTTAGCAAGACTTGTAAATAATTGAGCAGCAGGTGCATATTGTTACAGAAACACAATTCATTTCGACATTGTCCTGAGTCTAAATCTCTGGCTGTTGTTGGCAAGGCTGGCAGCTGCCCCTCTCAAAGACCCTCCACTTGTTTGTCTCCCTTTGCTTTCCATGACGACCGGGCGCATATAAACTCCTGTTGCAGTGGAACAATGAGGGTATTAGCCGGTGATGTGCTGATGGCTCTCCACCTGAATGATCCATTGTGTCTTGAGGCACAACCAGCCGCTGAGCTCAGACCAAGCAAGACCCACTGACCTGCTCTGCTGTATCTGTCATTCTAATGAGAAGTGAACTACACACGCTCTCAAGCCTTTGAACTGAAATCCAGTTCATCTCAATGCCGCAAACTGGACGCATTATCTTAAGTTGCTAAATTGTTGTGTGTCTCTCAGCAGTGGAACCTCGCGGTAAACGGCACCTGCTCACCTCTCAGCATTCCCTTCCCGGGATCTCAGTGGCGCTGAAACAGTCCATAGACCTGCGCACCTCCATGGACGGAAAGTACAAGGAGATTGCGGAGGTAAAAAGTGATATTTGTTCATAGGAATTCTATTTTGGTCTTTTCATTGTGTTTTGATTCTTTACCTATGTTCTTCAAGATTTTGATTCTATGTTGATGCTCTTCAAGATTAAATGTCAGAGTCTAAATATCCAAGCATGTATAAACATCACTTAAGTCCTCGCCCAAAAAAGCTACTTACCGCCCACATACTGTAAGACTGCCCTGCATTATTCTAATGTATCTTTAGGCTTTTGAGCACACAAATACAGTAGATTCATCAACGCAGAAAATGCAATTACATTATACATAAATTATGTTGAAATATGCTATATTCTGGTTTGTGGATTGGATTCCTCTCAAAATGGATGCATGTTTTCAGAATGCCAATGTTTGTACCTTGTCTTAATTAATAATCTTAGGGGTACCTAACTTTTTGTTCAAAAATATGCATTGTGTTATTCCCAATTGAAAGTGTCTTGTAAAAGTAAACTTTTCAAATCAGACCACATCATGCTATTTCATGAATGTGATCTTCTCCTCTCGTTTTCTCATTTCTGTTTACAAAGCTACAAATGTGACAGAGGCCAAATATACATACTGTACATGTGAAAACTGGTGCTTTTTTTACACAATACATTTCTTTGCGTTTTGAAAGTCAGGTACCCCAGCTTTAAATGAATTGTTCTTTTATGCACAGGAGTTGTTCTCCCGCAGTCTGGCTGAGAGTGAGATGAGAAGTGCCCCGTATGAGTTTCCGGAGGACAGCCCCATTGAAAAATTGGAGGAGAGACGGCAACGACTCGAGCGCCAGATCAGCCAAGATGTCAAGTATGTTGTTCATTCAAACCACTGGTTGTCTTTATTCTTTACATTATTGTGCTGAATTGCTTAAGTAAAATAAGTAAAGAGTGATTATTATATATTTTGAACGTTTAAGATCTCTAACGTGACTTGTCAGCATCAGATCAGATACGTTGAGCCAAAATGCCTGTCAGTGCTCATATTCATCTGAGACCACTGTAGGGGAATGACTCACAATGGAGTGGTTTAGGGTTAGATTGGTGTTATATTTATATATATATATATATATATATATATATATATATATATATATATATATATAATATATATATATATTATATATATATATATATGTTATATTTATATATATATATATATATTATATAATATATATGTTATATTTATATATATATATATATTATATATAATATATATGTTATATTTATATATATATATATATATATATATATATATATATATATATATATATATATAAATATAACCCCAAGAGCTTCTAAACATAAATATTATATATGATTAGAAGCTCCATTTGGCAGATTATGATATTAAAGTGATATCTAATTTATTTGATCATGTAGGTAAACAATCACCATGCTAGATTGTTAATAGTTATATTTATTAATCGGATTGCCCAAGAGTACAAACAGCGTAGCAGCAAGACTAGTGCACGTGTCAGAATACCAGCACTATAAATATAATACCTGTATTGTAGGTTTGAGCCTGACATCCTCCTCCGCGCTAAGCAGGAGTTCATGAAGACTGACAGTGCCACCGATCTGGAGTAAGTGATGCTATTAATGCCTCATGGTTGCCACCGTGAACGGACAAACGTCATGCGTGTTATTGATTCGTCATTAGATACATGAAGGAGCAGAGCCAGGCGTCCGACTTCCAGGAGAGAGAGCTGGTCCCAGAGCGAGAGTATCAGAGAGTCTCGATTTCAGGAGAGGAGAAATGTGGGGTAAGAATCACTCGGAAAAACAAAGTTAAAAAACAAAGCACCACCTGGTACACTGTATAAGATAAGAAGATAAGAATTCCTTTATTCGTCCCACAGTGGGGAAATTTCGATGTTGCATCGCACATATAGGACAGTAGTAAGAGCACACAGGGATCATACACAATATATACAAATAAGTAGTAGCTATGTTTCTTAGCTAACATAACTAGCTGTAGATGCTGAAAATAAATAGAGTTTAGTGTACCAGGCCCAGGCTATTTTGGGTCTGAACACATTTTGTATCCAATGTGAAATATGATATACAACCAACAATAATGCATATATTCAAATCTGGTGTCATGGTTTTATGTTAAGATTTTTATTTTTAATCCAGTCTTTGTCTTATGCAGGTTCCTTTCACAGACCTCTTGGATGCAGCCAAGTGTGTGGTAAAGGCCCTGTTCATCCGGCAGAAGTACATGGGGCTGTCTCTGCAGAGCTTCTACCGCACAGCCGCTCGCTTCCTGCAGGAGCTGAGCGACAGGCCTCTGGACCTGGATCTGTACGAGGACGATGTCCCAGAGACTGGGAGCACTGCTGGTACTTTCACACAAACGCTGCATTTACAGTTGGAAGTTTGCACACCCGACAATGTCATTGTTTTGATTAGATTGTACCTATGTGATTTACTGTCAAATAAACACCTTTTTCATTAAAAATAATAACATAATTGAGTCGAACTGGGGAGATCTTAAGGTGTGTTCACACTTCAGTCCCAAGAGAACCAGAGTTCCCTTTGAGTGGACCAGTAAGGGCAAGAGTAATTTGTCTGTGAAAATGTGAAATCAGCAACACAACTAACAGACAAATTAGCAATATAACAATATCCAAAAACAAAAAAATGTGTCAGCTTGATCTGAAGCTGAGCATACTGTATTTGAAGTTTGCCCACAATTAAAGTCTTTGCGATTTACCAAGTGTGGCAAAATTGTGAATTAAATTTGATTTTAAATAATCTTGCAGTTTCAGTCAAATACGTATTCAATTACTCAATTCAGAAATGGAACTGTGATCTGAACACGCAGTGATCTTTTCTCTCACATCTGTTTTCTACACACTTTTATTCAATAATGTCACTTCCTGCATGACGTGATTCACGGCCTGCCCTTGATCTGGCGACGCTTGAATCCCTCATGTTTGATCTGTTTCTTCTGTGATTCTTTTGTGGGAGGTAATATTATGTATAAGCCCCATGGCAGACAGGGCGCACTGAGCAAACACAGCGTCACACTGTTTGTAATAAAACTATTTATTTTCATTTTCTCCGTGGGGCCATATTCATATATAGCCATATTGTTTGTAAAATGTAATTTGGCAAACATCAATGTAACATGATCTTTTGTGAGATTTGTGGTCCAATGAGAAAACTGAACTGATCATTACAACAGTCTGCAGAAGTCAGTGCTTTTCCACAAGATGTTTTGTTTTCCGAAGGTCGAAGCTAACATTTTCTTGTTGCTGTACTATGTAAAATGTTTAAATGTGTATCTGTTATTGTAGTGTTTTGGGGGTGGGCAACAATAAGCTCTTGCTTCGGCCCACTCCTTTTGAGCAGAACTTGTCTGCTCAAATAAATAAATAAATAACATAACAGACGCTGAGATGAGTGTTCTTCCTTTGTCCAGCCGCTACCCGGTACTTTTTTAGTGATGGCTTGGCCCTGGTTCCAGCTGGGCCGAGTAGATACCAAAACAATCTGACTTTGGTGAACGTCAATTGTGATTGGTCAGATGCGTTGTCAATCACTCTTCAGCTGGTGCAAAAAACATAACAAACAACAAGATGCTTCAAGTTTACTTTAAAGACATCCAAACGGAAAACACTTCCTTGGTCGCTGGATGAGGGAAACACCTTTCTAAGTTGAGGAGAGGACACCAACATGAGCTCAGAGTGTGCGTTGCTGTTTGCAGAAAGATACTCGCACAAAAAGACATTACATGGCTTTATATAGTGCAGACTTCAAAAGACTGTCAAAGCTAAATTCCTGACCTCCTGTTACTTACGTGGCAATAAAAATGATTCTGATTCTAAAGTCCAGTCTCTGCTCTCTGTGTCCCTCTGCCTTCATCTGTGCGACTCTCTGTCTCTTCCAGATGCCACTGTGCACCCACCCGCCTATAAGACCCACCCCTATGACAGGCATGACCCCCCCAGCATGCCCCCTGACATCGGCTACGGTTGCAGAATGGTGAACGGAGTCGTGCACGTTTACACCAGCAGGCGCACTATGGACAAGTGAGAGGCTTAAGTATAAGACAGTAGAATCAGTGGCTTTGGTCACATTTATTTTCCTCATTCCATTTGAAAATTGATAGATACTTGTTTTATTTAGAGTCAAACATTCTAACTTTAATCACTTACAGTATAACCTTTTATTTTATTGTTTTGCCTTATACTATTCTAACACTGATCTTTTATATATACAGCTGGGAAATCTACATTCTCAATTTGAATTTGGTTTTCCTTATTGAAATTCAATAAGCGCGAGCACTTCAATCACAAAATTATGTTCAAGCCAAACATGACTTCTCTCTGATGCTTTGAGCATCGAGTGGCAGCTCTGATTGCCCGCCCCCTTACATTACATGACGTCTGGCGTTATGTTATGCACTTTTCTATTAATTTTGCATCATTTTCAACAGTAACTGCTTGTAAGTTTAATATCATACCTCAGAGAAAAACACAAACGTTACATTGTATAAGACACAATATAAGAAAATATCCTTGAAACTTTGAGATGCCTTTCACAGACGATGGCACAAGATTAAATAAATGCACCATTCAGACGCCCTTGTAGGATTTCTGAAATATCTCTGTTTTTGTTTACCTATAATTCATGTTGAAATGTGTTAACAGGAGCACTGAGCTGGAGCTGCCTTATCCAGACCTGCAGGAGTACATCGCTGATATGAATGTGATGATGGCTCTTATCATCAATGGACCAGTGTAAGAAAAATGACAAATGTGGATCATAAATATCCTCACCTCAATATTGATTTAACACCATTTAATAAAAGACGTTTATCCACTGACTTCTGTATTGAAAATTGCTGCATTGATTTGGCTAAAGACTGGTAAACTAAAGCCTCTGTGCCTCTATTCTTATTGGATTGTTGTGTGTACTGTGACCATCTGCATGAGGGTGCATAAGAATCTCACAAACTTTAAACTAAAATGGGAAACAAAACAAATACATGGCTACAACTGTATGTCAACTTCAAGATATAATCTTTTAACTTTTAGATAGAAGGTTGCATAAATTGATTACTGTTGTTTATTGCTCTTTGCTTTGACATAGAAAATCCTTCTGCTACCGCCGCCTACAGTACCTGAGCTCCAAGTTCCAGATGCACATCCTTTTGAATGAGATGAAGGAGCTGGCCGCACAGAAGCAAGTCCCTCATAGAGACTTTTATAATATCCGTAAGGTGAATCTCACAGCTGTTCCTCCTCTCTCATCAGAGCAGCACTAGCGCCTGCTTTAGAAATGTAAATGTATCTTTTTGTCTAGGTCGACACACACATCCATGCGTCTTCCTGTATGAATCAAAAGCACCTCCTGCGCTTCATTAAAAGGGCCATGAAGAAGAACTCCACACAGATCGTGCACATGGACCGCGGCAAAGGCCAGACGCTCATGGAGGTGTTTGAGTGCATGAACCTCACTGCCTTCGACCTCAGCGTGGACACACTGGACATGCACGCCGTGAGTACTGTGTGTGTGTGTGTGTGTGTGTGTGTGTGTGTGTGTGTATTAAGAATAGTAGGAAGGGAAGTGGGGCTATTTCATTTATAACGTAAAGTGATTATTCTACTCATCAATATCATTATATGTGTGTTTGATACTTTTCTTTTTGTCAACTTTCTGTGATACGCATCTTGTCTCCCACTTTCATTTGATATTCACATAGGAGAGCCTTAGCACTCTTTTTAACTGTATTTTAGATCTGAAATCCTGGATGGCAGAAAACTTTCTCCAGCTTAACCAGGACAAAACTGAGGTTTTAGTCATCGGTCCTGAGGCCCAGAGAGAGAAACTTTTACCAAAACTCCAATCACACTCTTTTAATCCATCATCACAAGTGAAAAACCTGGGCGTAATCTTTGACTCTGAGCTGACTTTTATTCCTCACATTAAAAATATCACAAGAATAGATTTTTATCATTTAAAGAACGTCGCCAGAGTCCGCCCCATTCTCTCTCGGGGCAACACGAAGACGCTGTCGCATTGACTACTGTAATGCCCTGCTCTCTGGTCTTCCCAAAAAGAACATTGCAGGTTTACAATTTTTTTAGTACGTTTTAGTAAATTTATTTATGTTTTTAGACACATTATATTTTTTGGGTTTTTATTTTATTTATTTTATCTACCCATTTTCTATTGTTATTATTAGTATTAGGCAGCTGCCATTTTCTTTATAGTGTCACATTTGAATGTTTAACTTTCTATTGTACTGTGTGTGTGTGTCTGTATGTGTGTGTGTACACTCATGTGGGTGTATACTGTATATAATAATAAATGTGGTTTTTGGGAGGGTCTGTGGGGAGGTGGGGTTTAGGGCTGGGCATATTGGATTGTTTTTAACTAAACTGTAAAGCACTTTGTGCATTTTTTTTGTATGAAAAGCGCTTTATAAATAAAATTTGATTGATTGATTGATAGCACACATTACACATCTGTTATGCTCCTTTAGGAACTCATTAAAACTGACTTCAAAACCTGTGTAACCTGTGTATTGGGGTGAATCAGATCCTACTCATTCCAAGTTTCTTATATTGAATTAATTGAAAATTGTAGTTAACTGCTCTGCCCTAAATGAAGGTACAGGAACATTGCTGTTTATAATGCTAACATGATGCTCGTTTGTACTCAGGACAGGAATACATTTCATCGCTTTGACAAGTTCAACTCCAAGTACAACCCGATCGGAGAGTCCATCCTGAGAGAGATCTTCATTAAGACCGACAACTACATTGAGGGCAAATACTTCGGCCACATCATTAAGGTGTGGGATAAACAAATGTCACATCAGCCTCACTGTGTGGACGTGTGTCTGCAGCGCCCCCTGCTGACCTCCTGTGTCGCTGTTCTTTCAGGAGGTGATGGCTGACCTGGAGGAGAGTAAATACCAGAATGTGGAGCTGCGACTCTCCATTTACGGACGCTCCAGAGACGAGTGGGACAAACTGGCGCAGTGGGCAGTGAAGCACCAGGTGTACTCAGATAATGTGCGATGGCTGGTCCAAGTGCCCAGACTGTTGTGAGTGATTACAAGCTCAGTATAAAATATTACACCTTAATACTTACAGTTAATACTTAGCAGTCAAAATAAAGATGGGTAACTGGAATCCTGATTATTGCATGTGTTGTGTCTTCAAAGTGACGTCTACCACACAAAGAAACAGCTCTCAAACTTTCAGCAAATGTTGGAGAACATCTTTATGCCGTTGTTCGAGGTCACAGTGGACCCCAGCAGCCACCCAGAGCTGCACCTGTTCCTGCAGCACGTAAGACTGAACTAAAATCTATTATAAAACCAGATATGTCTGATGTTTGCTGGAGCAGGCTGGGACATGAACTCTATATGACAGAATGCACTACTGCTAATGAAAATATACACTGTTAGTGTATATTTAAGATTTTGATAAAAACTGATACAACTTTGGTCCAAGTTATTATGTAACTAATTAAAATATAATGAACTTTAAATCCATTATTTTATTGCAATTTTGGTATCAGCCTGAAATTCATTTACTGAGTTGATTCAAGTATCAAAGTGTTTGTTGTACCTGGGCTATTAGTCCTTTTTTGAAGATTTGTTGGCTTTATTTTTTGTAAAACTATCATTTGTATATGAAACTCCCAAAAATGTCCCAAAAAGTTCTCATCATATTTAAAATCTGTTACTTGCACTTGAATAAATAAAAAAAAGTAAAGGAACTGAATGTAATGGGAAAAAGTACATTGGCAACACTACTGTCCTCCACCTCTTTCGACAGAATATCTGAATCCCGGCATTACCCACAAGGCTTTGTTTGTTGTTTAGGTTGTCGGCTTTGACAGTGTGGATGACGAGTCCAAACCGGAACAACACATCTTCAATTTAGACAGCCCGCTCCCAGAGAACTGGACGGAGGAGGATAACCCGCCCTACTCCTACTACCTCTACTACATGTATGCAAACATGGCCGTGCTCAACCACCTGCGCAAGTGAGTGTGAAAAAACATAATCTACAAACTACAATTATCAGCAGCTTTCAATACAAACACACCAGCTTCATGAGAAAAGGCAGTTAAAGCAAATGAAGACACAGGTTTAAACCATAAGAACACACTGCCCCCTACTGACGGCTTTGTAACTGCATCGTCACCATGACTGCACACAATTATCCAGTTTGTATTATTCTGTCACTCAAAGCATAAAACATATAAACATGTAAAACATATCTGTTTTATCAATTAGTATTAAGTAGCATCCTGCTATAAGGATGAAAGGAAAGGAGTTTATTTATATTGCACATTTCATACAAGACAGCAATAGTAATAATGTGTTCGACATGGAAAGTGCAACATTTATAAATACCAACACAAAATAAAGTCAAATGTTAAGAACATTTAACGGACTCAGGGTTGGAGCACATTTGATGGCATTAGGCAGAGTGTTCCATTTACAAGAAGCATAAAGAGAGAAGGCTCCTATTTTCATTTTTTTAGGTACAAAGTAAATCAGAAACACTTCTGATTATATAATTACTCTATTAACCTGGAAGAGGTGTTTGCCTATCCCTGTATAAATAAACTAAATATTATCAAATAATTCTTAGTCTGTGGTTTAGAGTCATATAGTCTCTATTTGGCTGAGTGTAATGTGATTGTTGCATGTCTCTGTAGACAGCGGCGTTTCCACACACTGGTGCTGCGGCCTCATTGTGGCGAGGCGGGGCCCATCCATCACCTGGTGTCCGGCTTCATGCTCTCAGAGAACATTTCACACGGACTCCTGCTCAGAAAGGTGAGAAGACGACCACGCCTCTCCGTGGCATTATTCATTTGTGTAACACAGAATTGCGTAGTGATGGATGGGTTTGTTGGAACAAGATTACCATGCTTCATGTCCCTTCCCTTTTTTGTTACACTATTTTATTCTACAGACTGGTCATGAGCTTAGAAGAGGGGTTTTATGCTTGGATGAATAGTTCATTTGTTGACGTTAGGGCTTCTAACCTTCTAATCACATTTGGAAAAACAGGCCTGATGTTTGCACATTACTTCTCGGTCTTTTTCATCAAGCAGCATTGAATATCCCATCTAAATGTGTTGTGTCCCTCCAGGCTCCTGTACTGCAGTATCTGTACTACTTGGCCCAGATAGGCATCGCCATGTCCCCCCTCAGCAACAACAGCCTGTTCCTCAGTTACCATCGTAACCCGCTGCCCGAGTATCTATCCCGCGGCCTCATAGTGTCGCTGTCCACCGATGACCCTCTGCAGTTTCACTTCACAAAGGTCTGTCCTCGTCCTTCATGTGTAACGGATAATCATGTTTAATTATAGTGGTATGTTAACTGTAGGATCCATTTATGTTGTGTTTTAATGTGTGTAGGAGCCCCTTATGGAGGAGTACAGTATTGCGGCTCAGGTGTGGAAGTTGAGCTCCTGTGACATGTGTGAACTGGCCAGAAACAGTGTCCTGATGAGCGGCTTCTCACATCAGGTCTGTTTACAGTTGTTTACCCTCTGCACCAAAAACTAATCCAGCAAACACACAATAATTATTTACCTGCTAAAATAAATGACAAAAAAATAATGACTGAAAGTGAAATACATATTATCCTATGTGCTGTAATTGAGAATTTGCTTTATATTAACTAAAGGAAAGTTGTATTTTTTCATTTGTTCTTCTGCATATACTTTATTATCATAACAACATTTTGATTGAATCCCTCAAAATAGAGCAGCCATTTTGTCAATACGAGCTGGGTTTGCTTTGCATGCCTGATCCAGTCAGCTGCTGCAGACTGAGCACATTCATCAAACCATCTCTGTTTTTCCTTCAGGTCAAGAGTTACTGGCTCGGTCCAAACTACATCAAAGAAGGACAAGAGTGCAATGACATCAGACGCACCAACGTCCCGGACATCCGTGTGGCCTATCGCTACGAGACCATGTGTGAGGAGCTAAACTTGATAATACAAGCCATTCGCACTGATGCACTAGACACCATAGAGGAGGAGGGCAGTCTGTGCATGCGACAGAAATGAAACGCCATTTAAAAAAGGGACTGGCAACATTGTCTGATTACATCTCCCCACTATGGACAGATTCACACATCAACCAATGACTCCAAAGGAAGGAGAACACTTTTTTATATAAAGATAGAATTTATGAGATGGGATCTATATGGACCGCATTATAAACGTTATTTATTGTTTTATCTTTTGTATTTTCCATGGCCAAACATGTCTGATGTATGTCTCTTGTAGCAGCCGTTGAATAACACTGCAATTCATGTACTGATCCAACCCAACAATGGGAATCTTCAAACAAAATCCAACGTAACTTTTACTATATTTCAAACACATCTCTAGTTATCTCTATAGTTATCTCTAGTTATGTGGATGACAAATAAGTGGCATCTCTTGCATGTTTATTTTTGTTATTGTTGGTACAATTGCAACAAGTCCCTACTTTGTTTGCTTTGAGTGACATGACGGTACTGGCTGCTTTTTCAAATGTGCATCACTTTGGATTAGACTTAGTTAATTATCACCCGACGAAATGAGAATTTCACAAATTCAGGAAAATGGAATGAAGCCAGAAAGCTGAAAACAAAACTTTATCAAAACACAAAAATCACACCAACGGTTTACCTCACATTTGTCCCGATCACGGGCAAAAACTACAGTTTGTACTAAACAGATTTTCAAAGTCAATCGTTGCCATTTATCATCAGTTGAAGCATGACTACAGCATGCCGTTTATGTCGGCTCAAGTGTATAAAGTATTGCTACAATTAAAAGAATTCAAATGAAAAGGGCATTTTGGAGTAATATCGGCCTAAACAGTGAGAAATGCATGGTCCTGTTCAATTTGCCAAACGACAAACTGTGCTTTGTTTCCAGTGTTTTCAATGGAGCTGCATCAGTCCTTTGTATGTTTGTGAAGTATTATTTCACGAATGTTATGTCTTGGTAAAAATAAATGTCTACAAATGATATTTTTCTCATTGTTTTATTGCTACAACTATGTGTGAATACTTTGTGCGAGTACTAAACGAGGAACAGCAGAGGTTCAGTGGATAAACTAGAGAATGGTTAGCTTAATTAACAAAGAGTCCGTTGTATTGTGTGCAAGTTATTAGTCTGTTGGATATAACTACGACTGGAAGATCAAACAATTATAAAACCCACTCAACATTTGCAAGTTTTAGTGACAGCACTTCTAATAATGAAGAGTGAAGTCATAATACTGCTCATGTGTGAAAGTGTAGAATGTATTGTAACATATTCTTTGGTCATTGCCTTCACTCCTGCACACATCATATATTATCTACAGAAATAAGTTCAGCTAAACACTTCTGTCTACATTTTCAAGTATCTGATGAGCATTGATAGTGTTGCTGTAGGAGGTAGTAGACTTGAATGTGTTTTTTCAAGACAACATAACATTTAAATTTAAGATTGAGTGTTGGTGTTGTATGACATGTCCCCGCCCAGTTAGTCAGTGAGAGAGTGCAACAAAAATGCTGAGTCATGGCGATTGTTCAAAAAATGTTTTGCATTTTATACAAATTAAAGCAATAAACAATGGGCTAGCAGTCATTTGACAAGTGGTTGCACGTGTGCTGTATTAGACTGGTTATATAACAGTGGACAATCAAAATGCCAAAGGAATATATTGGTGTTAGGCCTAATATTGCACATTATAATGAACCTGGAATGAGGGTAAATTGTGTGATAGCGGAATTTGAATGTTGAAGGAACATTTTTTAGGAAAGTAAAGAAAAGTGATAAATCTTCTGATCTTTACTGAGAGTCAAATGTTTTGTCTGTCGAGATAACACAATAGATCCGTGATTGTAAAGAATATTCACTGCCTATAGTGAAAACGCGCAAACCGTGACAGGTGCGTGGGCGAACCGGCTCGACTTGTATAGCGCCCCCTCGTGGCCACACATCGAAGCTCCTCCTCGGCCCCGCCCCTTCGCCTCACGATAAATACATTGTCGCGTGCTTCTCAAGGGGTTTCTCTACAGCTACACCAGCACCAGCTCCACCCGTCTCCGTCCACATCCACATCTTTCTGCCTTTACTTCAAAATGCCCATGAAACTGGCATACTGGGACATCCGCGGGGTGAGCACTTTATCATTCCAACAAAGTAGAGGGAACACTAGGACCCTTTACTCAGCGGTGTTATGTAGCTGCTGGATCCGACTCAAAATGGTGAAAATATGAAAGCGTTACGTAACCGTGCACGTGTGCAGAGCTGTCTTCATGCACTGCGATAATACTTGTGCCATTTGACTAAAGCAACTGAAATGAATGAACAAATAGCAGCGAGCGAGACACGGACTGTTTCAACTGGTGCTATGTTAAAGCAGACTGGGAGTGTGTCCTATTGTTCTGGATTGAAGTGAATGCACAATACAACTTTCACCTTATTCGTGTCTGAACCTGAGTTAACCCGTCACTATCTTCCCCCTCCATAATGCATTCGTCCCAACAGAACGTCTTGTTAAAGTTTAAGGTTCAATGACAAATCAGACAAGTGCAGGCTGCCTTGGAGCTGATTGGCTGAGTGTGGATGGTCCGCTCTTTTTCACTTCTAAAGATTCGACAGAGGCCACAAATCCATGCACATGAAAACTAGTGATGAATCAAACTGTTTTAAGAGTGAAATACTCATGACATAGTTCGTGGTTGTGCTTTAAAATGTACGTACCCCAGCTTTAATCTGGCACGTATAGGTATCTGAAAGATGGACATTTTTGTAGGTAGTAGAGAAAGCCCAGCACCCATTTAATTGTTTTTTTGATATTTCTTCCTCCCATCTCCGGCATGTTTTTAGTCTTGTTGGTCCCAGTGCCCTCATGTTATTTGAAAGCTTTTGTGCCTCTTGTAGCTGGCCCAGCCCGCCCGCCTGCTGCTGGAGTACACCGGCGAAAGTTATGAGGACAAGTTTTACGCCTGTGGTGAAGGTAACTCCTCCTTCCACACTTTTACTTCATGAGGTGAATGCTGAAGATGATTTTTATTATGGATTCACACAGCTCCAAACTATGACAAGAGCTGTTGGTTTGACGTGAAAGCCAAACTTGGACTGGATTTCCCCAATGTAAGTAGCATAGCGTTCTTTTATACTGGCTTTCCAAAGTAAGAGGGGAAATTTGAAAGATATTCTCCTATAGCTGCCTTATCTGGAGGACGGAGACATCAAGATCACGCAAAGCAACGCCATCATGAGATACATCGCCCGAAAACACAATATGTGTAAGTGTTCTGGAATATTTAGTTAACAACGATATTACAAGTGAATGTGATGGATTAAATCAGATCAAGATGGTGATATGATTTTAACTTTGCTTCAAAAGGTGGAGAAACTGAGATAGAAAAAGTAAGAGTGGACATGCTTGAAAACCAGGCAATGGACTTCAGGAACGGCTTTGTGATGTTGTGCTACAGAGACTTTGTAAGTTCTGAGGGTTGTAAATATTAAGTAAAAACTTTATTATTATCGTTTTCTCCATGCTTCAAACCAGGATAACAAGAAGCAGTCGTACCTAGAAGGTTTAGACGGCACACTGGACAGCTTCTCTAAGTTTTTGGGAGACAGAAAGTGGTTTGCTGGTGATAAGGTATTGCAAAGTCTATTTTCACGGCTGCACAATACCTTTTTTTTAAGACGTGAATTAACGAGTTTCTATTCTCTCAGATCACTTTTGTGGACTTCATCATGTACGAGCTGCTGGATCAACACTACATGTTCCACAATAAATGTTTAGACAAATTCCCAGCCCTCAAAGAGTTCCTGGCACGATTTGAGGTAAAACTTTTTTGAGATCATTAGTAAGCACTAATCTGACAATGTATCTCTACCCACAGGTGTAATCCCATTTCACATTGTTAAAATAAGGGACACTTTCTTTTCCCTTTTTTTCATTTGCAAAAACAGATTATTTTCAAAGTTGTCAAATTTTCAAAAGGCCAATTTTAAGTTTTCCTCTATTTGAGCAAATCATTTTGAAACTTATTATTGAATTCCTCCAATCTCTTCATTTACCATCTTTTCTTGTTTTACACAGGCCTTGCCCCAGATCAAAGCCTACATGAGCTCGAATCGCTTTATGAAAACTCCAGTCAACAACAAAATGGCCAAATGGGGAAACAAGAAGGAGTAACGGAGCAGTATCTGTTTTGTAGCCATTTGTCTGGGGTGGTGTTGGATCAAGATTTCATAATTCAAAGCACTTATGTTGCACTTCATCTTTTTGGAAAATAAAGAAACAAACTCTGTTTTATTATTAAGGTTTTAATGTTCTGAATGTCCACACAGCTGTTTAAATTGCACGTCAACTCAAAGTTCTGGAGAATATACAGATGTCATTTCGCACAATGGCAGATGTGGAACCTTACGCCTAAAGTTCATATCAGTAGCGGCCGTTGTAATAAGGCCCTGATGGTTCACTGGCGAGCTGGGAAAAAAAAAAATAGAATTTACCGACTGAATGTAGGTGTGTGTGGTAAAGGTGTTCAGGGTTATGGGTGCATTAGTTTATATGCGTTCACTCACAGCGATAGCAGATTTTATGGCCTGCAGCTGGAAGAAGACTTTCCCTCCTTCTTCTGGACAAACCGACCTGATCTCGTCTTTGCTCATCCCCAGCAGCTGTTGCCCGTTCAGGACACCCAGGCTCCGCACCGTCCTGGCCCACACATAATGAAGACGTTAACAAGCGAAAGCAAAATGTACTTTGGCGATCTTCCAGCGCGACATAAAACCATGTGGTGATAAAGTGCATGGATGTTCAGTTTCGGTTCCTCAAACATTGGACTCAGGATTACTCTCATTTCTTCACTTTACAATACGACTTTTTGCCCTGATTTATTTAGTTAATTTTCTTATACAATTCAATCTTTTCCAGCTGTGGCTTTTTGCTATATCCTCACATAAATACTCATGGGAGAAGCAACAGACTGAACAGACCGGACCACAATGAGGGCAAAAATCACTACTCTGTCTGAAAAAGCGGATCCAGAGCTTTAACTGAGCACAAAACTATCATGCAAATGTAATGAACTTGTTATACTTCCAATGCTCCCATGTTACTGGAGATTTTAGGACTTATTTCCTTATTTTGCTAAATACAGAGATTTTATGTCATTTCATTTTAGTTATTATTCATTTATCTTGTGCTGTGTGCTACTCATTCCTACTGTTCTGTGACGCAACACTGAAATTTCCCCTCTGTGGGACAAATAAACAAGCTCTTTTAATTTCCTCAGCACCAACAGCAGTGTTGCATCTGCTACATTCACATTTCCCATACTCACATTTTGGAGAAACCCTTGTATGAAAGCCAAGTCGAGACCTCTGCAGAAGAAGACCTCATGTCGAGAGTCACAGGGGCCTCACGCTGCAATTTAAAAAGGAAAACTGATCAAACCCGTATTATCAGACGGACTGAGTAAACTGAATGGTGAATAGATAACCTGTGGCATTGGAGATCGGTTGATTGACTCCAGGACATTTTGAGGAACATGACCCTCTTCATTGCGGCTGTTACGGACCAGCCACCACTGCTTATTCTTCTGAACCACCTGACCGAGAACAAAGCAATACAGTGCAGTCATTTATGCAGAAATGAGGAGAAAATAATTACAAAGAGTAAACTGGTCAACACAAAAGTATCTATTTGGTTTCTGCAGATTTAATTTAGATCTTCTGTGGTCGTTATTGACAGATTAACTCACGTTTGTCTGAATGCAATCGCACCAACATATTGCTAGCGTTAAGTGAATGAGCTCCTTTTATAATTTCACCATTTGTCTGCCGTCCATAGACACAAACTCACCTCAACCTCGTCCCCGTTCATGAGGCTGAGCTCTCTGTTGTTTCTTGCCACAAAATCATAAATAGCTCGCATATACTCTGGTTCAGTAGCTCTGAAATCATAGAACAGGTAGAATGAAGTACTAATGAGCTGTCAGAAAACAGTCACAAGCAGATTTATTTTAAGTGACAGTTTACCGTGAAGAGGGCAGAGCTTGACCCAGTCCGTTCTGCTGTATTGGCGAGAACCGCCGGCTGTTGCTGCGGCTCACTGGGCCGTGTGCATGTGACTGAGGAGGAGGCTGCCAGCCGTCGTAAAAGTCTGGGATGTAAAATGGGATGTCTTCCTCTGCCCACTGAGATCTAACCAGAAAGAATAATGTTTATTATGTATTTGTAAAAAGTACATGTTAACAACACTTTACTCAAAAAGTTATAAGTCAGCTTTATTTAAATGCAGCAATTTTCACTTAACTCCATACATGATTGTGGAACAAGGAAGGCTGCTAATCTGTGGTCTCTCATCCAAACACCAACCATGCTCTTTATGTTTTAGCTTAATCTACAACCAAATGCCAAAATTTTTTTTAAAACAGCTCCTATTTTGTAATGCCAAGAAGATCAATAGAAAGATTGATCTGCATAAGGCATTGAGTTGCTCAGACATCTTGTGAAAAGTAGTTTCCTTAGGGAAGACACTTTAGTCTGGTGTGTGCGCAAATGGTTGCCTCTCTTCTGTCAGTCTGCCCCAGGGCAGGTGTGGCAGTAGCTTGTAACCAAGTACAAAGTGAATGAAAAATGCCATGTGAAGCATCTTTGAGTGTCCAAAAAATGTATTTATCCAACTCTTTTCAGAGAATAATACTGAAATGAAGGTGATGTTTTTTAAGCACATATAGACGTCCCTATGTATCATAGTCCATAGAGGTGTCTGACCTGGGGAACATCCAGCAGTCTCCCAGAGACCCCCAGAGCTGTTCCTCTTCAGGGGTCACCACAGAGCCCAGTAGCTGCAGCGCCGCATCAGTCAACAGCGGTGCTAGAACTGTAGGTGGGACGTCCGGAGGATATTGAGACACCAGCTGCACATATATCATTAAATATCATTAAATAAAATGTCCTACAATATGTGGTCGGCAGCCATTATTAACGAATTATGAGCTGTGACATAATGTATCTTTACCGAAGCCAAAATATTGAATATGAAGTGGACATAGTCTTCAGCACTGGGGTCATTGAGGACTTCCTCCAGCTGTCCCTGTTACATAACACAAACATGTGTTACATTAAGTAGTGATAGTGACATAGGAGTTGTAAAACCTTAAACTATTTACCAGAAGATTAAATCCATATTTGATTTTCTGGAGACAGGAAACATACTGGTCCAATGATGGGAGAACCACTGCTGGTGCTTCTGCAGAGGTGATACAAGTGTCACACAAGAAGCCCTCCAGAACAGTCAAACATAAAGACACTACTGTACACCTTTCTTCTTCTTTGATTTCCTCTTCTTTTTTTCTGGTTTCTGAGATGTTGTATTGAGTGCTGACATGACCTCAGCCATGAAGATCTCCAGATCATTCAAAACATGATTAAATATTTCCTACAGATGACAATATAATCAAATAAAAGTCAACTTAAAGATACGTGTATGGGTCCAAATGATGTCCAGAATAGAAGGACAAATATGCAGACTGAAAGAGCGTACTGTGTTTCTGTCTGTGTCAGAGAGCTGAGGCGGCCCTGGGTCCAGCTGCCGGTCATCATTGTACATCGCTTCATCAGGAGGAAAGTTTACTGAGAAAACAGCAGCCTTTAGGAGTGTGAAGAGGCATTACAAACTTCAAGGGCTCAAAGTTGCATGTGACCAAAACACATGAATATGTTGCAACATAAAAAGGTTTACTTCACTAGTTTTTATTGCTGAAACCACAGGACATTGTAGTTTCAGCAACATATTTCTCAATATTTGCCTGTGGTCACCTCATTCATGAGCAATGTTATTTTTATAAACTACATGATGGCAGTACCTGGTTCCCTGCTGCTCCACTGCGGCGGCTCAGGAGATGGAGTGAACCGCTCTCTCAACACGGCACGAGGGCCTTCAGGGCGGTACCCTCCGGCACCGAGGATCGCATCAAGGCTGGTCCTAGAGAAAACCATAAATGGTTATGATGTTATGCAACAATAATTTCACATGAATCACCTGAAATCTGACTGGTCCAGAGGTTCCTGGGCGCGTGGCTCCACAAATCCTTGTCCTCCTTTTATAATTGCTTTATCCAAGTCTGCTTTAATGACATCAGCCTAATAACGTGGTCCAGAGCAATAGTAAAAACCTGGTGTGAAACACTTTAGTATATATATGAAGTGATTTTCCTCTCACCCCCGTCTCTTCACACTGGAACATATAGACTTGAGTGACGCGTTTGTTGCGCTCCTGCACGTTGAGTGTGAGCAAAGAGTTGTACTCACAGGTGTCCAAAATGGCATTCGTTTCAAGGATGTTGCTTAAAGCCAGAGAGTCCAACTCAGACTGTGGGATTGCACAAAAGTATAAATATCCCGAAAATATTCTTTAGCGCCACATTCCTAACTAGGTTACAAATGTAATAGAAGTCCTAAGATATTTTTTCTTTGACCAATAAATGAATTACAATAACAATAATGTAATACTGCATCAGATGTATTACTTTAATCCTACAATAGGATGTGGTGTAAGCTACCATATCTACTGGTGTTCCATCCAAGTACTGAACAAGCCCTGACTTGCTTAGCTTCTGAAATCTGATGGTCTATTAATGATAATTAATCAATTTTTGTATAAATTGCAAATGTAATTTTATTTTATACATTAACTAATAATCACCTTCTTTCATCCATATGCCAGAACAGTCAAACTTCAATTACCTGTGACTGCTACATTAAACCCCAATAATAATAAAAAGTTGTGATTTGTATTAGAACTGACAAAACTTTACTGAAACCTTGGTCTCAATGTCCAGGAGGAGCAGATAGCCTCCCTGCAGCTCCAGCACCATCTCCTGGGACCAGAGTCGACCTTTAGTGTCCAGCCTCTTCAGCTTCGCCACACAGTCACTAATGGAGGCAATGTCCCGGCCGTCCAGGTCACACGTAAACAGGTGCTATGGCCAAAGAGCACAAAGTCATGGAGAGAAAACTTGGCAGGGACCATTTGTATCATGTAGTCTTTTTTTGTTTTACCTCCACTCTCACGTTTAAGTTGTCTGATTGCTTGTTCAGTGAGTCTGAGTAGTCTTTTCTCTGCACTAAAACATTAGAAAATGTTGATTACTCTGATCAAGTTGTTCAGCTTGCTAAAATGAAATAAGATGAAAGCAGAAACATAATGTCTTGAAGATTTGGTACACATTGTTAGCATATGGGCATATAAGATGATAAAACGTTATTGATCTCACAATGGAGAAAATTACATCTAACATTAGGCTTCAATAAGATCACTCCGGGTGTAAGTGTTGTTATATAGGTTTCTTATAAAAGAAACTTTTCTATTTATTTGGTCTTGCTTTTCTATTTATTTGGTTTAGAATTGTTTTGTAAATTTGTAAATAGTAATATTTTTGTTTTCTCCAAAAGAAAGTATTTGTTATTACACTTTTATACATCGGTTTCATTTCGTAATTTTGTTCTCGCGAGAATCTGCGAGAACTGGGGTTTACAAGGGGCCCTCAGGTAGACAGGCAGACGCTCTCTCGTGCTCAAAGACATCAGAGCGAGAGCCACTTTCACAGTGAGAAAGCAACTGTATCAGGTATCTATTTGTACATGTACGATTTTATTGTGTGTTTACATTTGTGTTTTTAATTGTTTTTATATGTTGTGTACAGCTGAAACGCACATATTGTTTTCAAGTTAAGTTAAAGACCTCTGACATGACAGGCGGCCACGAGGTAGCTAATTTTAAGTTTCGTTTTTGTAATGTAGACAAGAAGTTGTGTTTAATTGCATATTTTATTTTGTCCTGTAGTTTTCACGGCATTGAAAGACACTTATGACACTTGTAAGGTCAATAAATGAGCCCGTACTCGAGAATCCGTGTGCAGCGTTGTCATTGAGGAGCTACAGTGAAAACTCGACCAGCCCAGCGCCGGTGAAAAGCTCGAGTCCAGACGAAAAGGCGGCGGCAGCAGCATTGGGCGCAATACCGAAGTACACCACAAGGCGGCGCCACCATACCAGCCCATCGCTCCCAAACACCAGACCTTCGTCAATTCAAGTTTTTATACTGAAGTATTGTAGACACTAAGAATAAGACTGTGCTTTAAGGAAATGAGAGTGTTTAAAGCCAAGTTAAACTCACTGAAGTTATTTCATAGCACTTTCGATTTTCTACAATACTTTTTGGTTATATTTTGGGTTTCTATTATTGAAGTTTGTGTGCATTTCAGTTTAAGTTAAATCTATTTAAAGTTCATTTAAGTTTTCAAAGTTAATGTAGCCTGTTTGTATTAAGTTCTTTACAATCCAGGTTAAAACAATTATTAGACCACACCAGTTGAAACCACAGATTTAAGGTGCATATTTACACTACAAAGCTATATAATAACAAATAATTTCCTGACTGTAAATATGACTGACCTGACTGAGAAAGGCTGTGCCGAGTCAACGGATCAAGCTGAAGCAAGTGTTCGTAAGAGCGAAATAATAAGAACACTAACCGAAAAGGGGAAAGAGCTTCAAGAAGACAAATTAAAGGCTCTCAAGCGCAGATACAAAGTTGTCTATGAAAAATGGAGATATGAAGCAAGACTAAGCAAAGTAATGCTAACGGACACAGCAACTGACAGTGAATTAAGAGATTAATAGACAATGTGAATATGACCTGCCAAGATGTACAGGCTACATATGATGAGATACGTCAAATACAAGCACCAGATCCTGATATGAGATGCAAAGTTGATGCATGCACGTCTCTTTCAGAGTTCATTGTCAGAAGGGCCAAAGGATCACTTGAAGAACACACTGAAGAGGACAAGGAGCCATGGCCAGATGTTGGGTCATGCTTGGAATCTAGAGGATCAAAGTCAAGGTCTCAAAAGTCAAACTCCAACTCTATTCTGTCTAATACACAGTCAGTCAAAAGGGTAGAAGCAGCAGCTGATGCTGCAGCATCTCAAGAGGTATTAGCTGTTATGGAGGAACAGGAAAGGCAAGCAAATGAACTAAGGAAACTAGAGGTTGAAACCAAGCAGAGCGAACTGGAAAACTTGGTAAGACAACAAGCCATGGAAGAGCAGCGCAGGAAAATTGACCGTTTGGAAGAGGTCAAAAAGCTGAACGCTGCCAAAGCCAGAGTAAAAGTCTACCAAGAGGCTGAACACTACTCTGGAAGTCAAAGTTTGTCAAGCAAGCATAGAGCGGTGAGTGATGCCCCGTTTGCACCACTCATACATTCACAAGCTCCAGAAACAACTCAAGTTTTGAATGCTTCAACAGCTGCATTTACTCCACACATTGATACAGCTACCAAAAGTCAAGCACTCAAAGCGTCAAGTTTACCTTACATTCCTCAAGCAAAGCCAGTCTCAACAGCCACTACTCAACTCCAGCAGAACTCTGATTTGGTGAGAATATTAGCAGAAGCAATAAGTGCTAATCGTCTTCCAACTCCAGAACCCGTACAGTTCACTGGCGATCCTTTACAGTTCAAAGATTGGCAGTTGTCGTTTGAAACTTTGATTGAAAGGAAAAACATTCCCAAAAATGAGAGACTTTACTATCTCAGAAAGTACCTTGGTGGATCTGCAAAAAAGGCAGTGGAAGGTTTTCTCCTTATAGGAACCAGCATACGATTCGGCTTGGCAGTTGTTGGAAAAACGGTTTGGAGATCCTTTCACCATAGGAAAATGCTTCAGAGATAAACTTCACAGCTGGCCAAAAATAAGCTACAAAGATGGATCTGAGTTGAGAGAATTTGCAGACTTCCTCAGAAGTTGTGAAGCCGCTATGCCGCATATCAGAACACTGGAAGTTCTCAATGATTGCATGGAAAATCAAAGGATTTTGTTAAAGTTACCAGATTGGCTAGTATCTAGATGGAACCGCATGGCTATGGAACAGAGAAACGCATATGGAAACTATCCATTGTTTCATACATTTGTTGAATTTGTGTCCACCGAAGCAGACTTAGCGTGCGACCCCATAACTTCCATACAAGCACTGAAAGGTTTGGAATCAGATAAACCCAAACACTCAAGACACCAATTGTTTCAAGCTAAGGCTCTAACAACAAACTCCGTTAATTTCAGTCATAATGCTCCAACATGCATATTTTGCAAAAGAACTGGTCACATTCTCAATAAATGTCACAAGTTTTCCGAAAAGCTAGTTCAAGATCGTGTCAAGTTTGTTCAAACAGAAAAGCTCTGTTTCGGATGCTTAAGGACAGGACATCACTCAAAGAAGTGCGAAAAGAGAAGCACATGTGATAAGTGTCAAAGAAAACATCCTACATGCTTGCATGATGACAAGTTCATGGAACGTAAAAGGACTGCTTTTGTGAAAAGTAATAATGACTCTCAAGATACAACAGACACCAAAGAAAGGGTGCTCCCTCAAGAGAAGCCCGACTTGCAAGACAAAGACAAAGCTGCAACAGCAACATCAAATAGTGTTTCTCAGGAAAGCTGTAACACTTTGACATCGTCTATATTGCCAGTCTGGGTCTCATCTATCAAGAATCCTGAGCATGAAGTACTGGTGTACGCACTTCTCGACTCACAAAGTGATACATCTTTCATACTGGATGATGTAGCTCAAGAGCTTGATGCAGATAAAAGTACGGCTAGTTTAAGACTATCAACAATGTCTGCCAAGTTAACAGTGATACCATGTGAAAAACTTTTAAACCTTCAAGTGAGAGGATATCACAACAAGCAGAAAATTGCACTGCCCGCAGTTTTCACAAGAGAGTTCATACCAGCAAACAAGTCGCACATTCCAACGTCAGAAACGGCCCTGAAATGGCCTCATCTCGAAAGGTTGGCAGATAAGTTGCCTCCTCTGCTTGAATGTGAAGTTGGTTTACTCATTGGGTATAACTGCCAACAAGCCCTTCTACCAAGAGAAGTCCTAGCTGGTACAGAAAACCAACCTTACGCACAACTCACAGATCTTGGCTGGAGCATTGTCGGTTGTTCCTTTCAAGTTTGCGATCAAAGTGATGCAATCGGCACCAGTCACAGAGTCATTGTGCGTGAAGTAACCCCTGCAGTGCAAAAGTCAGTTGAGCTAAAGCAAGAAGTGCACTTTGTATGCAAAACTTGGGTTAAAGAAGTCACTCCACAGGATGTAGTAAAGGCTCTAGAAGTTGATTTTGCCGAACGAGCAACAGATGACTATCCAGTCTCACAGGAAGACATTCTGTTCTTGTCAAAGGTAAACAAAGGCATAAGGCACAAGGAAGATGGTCACTACGAACTCCCACTTCCATTCAAAACAGACAACCCAATCCTGCCAAATAACAAACTATATGCAGAACGCAGACTGTCTTCATTGGAACGTCGTCTCAGAAAAGATGAGAGATACTATAACGATTACATCAAGTTCATGAATGACATAATAAGTCGTGGAGATGCCGAGAAGGTCCCAATACAAGAGCTCGAAAACAAGACCGCTTGATACATCCCACACCACGGGGTATACCACCCTCACAAGCCTGAGAAAATCTGTGTAGTCTTTGACTGTTCAGCCCGCTTTCAAGACACATCTCTCAACGATCACCTTCTGACTGGACCAGATCTCACGAACGCACTGGTTGGAGTGTTATGCCGATTCAGAAAGGGTCCAATAGCCATAATGTGTGATGTTGAGCGGATGTTCCATCAATTCCATGTCATTAAGGAACATCAAGACTACCTAAGGTTTCTCTGGTGGGACGAAGGCAACTTGAGCTCCAATCCATCAGTGTATAGAATGAAAGTGCACCTATTCGGGGCAGCTTCATCCCCCGGATGCTGCAACTTCGGACTAAAGCATATTGCTGCACAAGGCCAAGAGAAGTTCAGCAAAGAGACCATCAAGTTCATCCAAAGAGGATTCTACGTTGATGACGGTTTGGCTAGCGTTACCTCAACTGCTGAAGCCATACAGTTAGTTGAAGAGTCAAGAGCTCTTTGTAAATCTGGCAATCTACGCTTGCATAAGTTTGTGTCCAACAATAAAGAAGTGCTTGCAGCAATACCACAAGCAGAACAAGCTCAAGCAAAGGATCAAGACATGGCTCTCGGAGAGTCTCATATTGAACGTGCACTGGGAGTACAATGGTGTATTGAGGCAGACGAGTTTCAATTCCGAGTCTTAGTCAAAGATAACCCGCTTACAAGGAGAGGGGTGCTCTCAACAGTTGCCTCTGTCTTTGACCCCCTTGGGTTTGTTGCTCCTTTTATCTTGATCGGAAAACAAATACTCCAAACATTGTGCAAAGATAGTCAATTGGGACGACAATCTCCCTGAGCACATCTTACCACAATGGGAATCATGGCTCAGAGACCTACCCAAACTAGCAGCTCTAAAAATCCCACGTAACTACTCAAAGGACATCAACATTGCACATTACGAACTGCACAACTTCTCAGATACAAGTCTGAACGGCTATGGTGCATGTTCATATCTAAGAGCAATAACCAAAGAAGGACAAATCAACTGCTCACTTGTAATGGGTAAAGCAAGAGTTACCCCCACTAAACAAACAACTATTCCAAGGCTTGAACTGTCATCCGCCGTGACTTCAGTTCGTAATGCAGATGTGATCAAGCAGGAACTCGAAATCGACAATCTCAAAGAGTTTTACTGGACAGATTCACAAGTCGTTCTAGGCTACATAAGCAATGATGCCAAAAGATTCCACACATTTGTTGCAAATCGAATTCAAAGAATAAGACAAAGTACAAGTCCCGATCAATGGCAACATGTCATCTCTGAAAATAACCCGGCCGATCATGCCTCAAGAGGCTTAAATGCAACTCAGCTCAAAGACTCAAACTGGTTACAAGGTCCAGCGTTTCTTTGGCAACAAGATCTTCCTGTTAAAAAGGAAACGGTGGGAGAAATACTGGAGGAAGATCCAGAACTTCGCAAGGGTCATACACATACCATTCAGTCAAAGAAAGAAACAAATGCTTTGCTGGATCGTCTAAAGAAGTTTTCACATTGGTCAAGAGCAGTAGGAGCCATTGCACGACTCAAAAGATGTATTAAAGAGTTCAAAGGTATTCAACAAAGAACAAACAAACTTACCAACCTCAAAGAAAGAAGGGAAACGGAAATCTTCATCATCAAAGAAGCACAAAAAGAAGCTTTTGCAGAAGAAATCCAAAGGATAACATCGCAAAGAGAAAGTACTCTGCATAAGCACAACAGACTAAGACAATTGAACGCTTTCCTGGACAAAGCAGAAGTTCTCAGGGTGGGAGGACGGCTTTCCCAGTCAGCCTTACATCATGAAGTCAAACACCCCGCAATTCTTCCCAAGGAATCTCACGTGTCATCTTTACTCGTCAAACACTACCATGAGCGTGTGCATCACCAAGGAAGAGGCATGACTATGAACGAATTGCGAGCAAATGGAATATGGATTCTTGGCTGTGGAAATGTTGTATCTTCACATATCTATTACTGTGTAAAGTGTAGAAGATACAGAAGACCTACAGATGTCCAACAGATGGCAGACTTGCCAGGAGTAAGAACAGAAACAGCTCCCCCATTTACCTACTGTGGCGTTGACTGTTTCGGTCCTTTCATAGTAAAGGAAGGAAGAAAAGAAATCAAAAGATATGGACTATTGTTCACATGCTTATGTTCACGAGCAGTGCACATTGAAACCCTCGACGACCTAACAACCGATGCCTTCATTAACGCACTTAGAACACTCATAGCAATAAGAGGCCCTGTCCGACAAATCAGATGCGACCAAGAGACAAACTTCATGGGTGCCAGAAGAGAGTTTGCAGAGTTGATGAAAGGAATGGATCAAGAACGCCAAAGAGCAATCGGTTGCGAATTTGTAATGAATGTCCCAGCAGCTAGCCACATGGGAGGCGTGTGGGAACGTCAAATTCGAACTGTAAGAAGTATATTTACAGCAATGCTAGACAACTCATCAAACAGACTGGACACTACAAGCTTAAGAACGTTTCTTTATGAAACCATGGCAATCATCAACAGTAGACCATTAAGCGTTGAACATCTTAATGACCCCACTGGTCCAGAACCACTTACGCCAAATCACATACTAACGATGAAGTCATCAGTTATTCTTCCTCCGCCAGGACAGTTCTCCAAGGAAGATTTGTACTTGAACAAAAGATGGAAAAGAGTACAGTTCCTCGCAAATGAGTTTTGGCAGAGATGGAAGCGAGAATACCTGCTAAATCTCCAACAACGACAGAAATGGCAGAAAACATCTCGTAACCTGCAAGTAGATGATATTGTGATTCTGCAGGACGATAATGCACCAAGATGTAACTGGAAGCTCGCTCGTGTGATAGAGACTTTCACAAGTACAGATGGAAATGTTCGAAAAGTGAAGTTGAAGACAAGCGACACTACTTTTGACAAAGGAAAGACACAGACAAGACTAATACATTTAGAAAGACCTATTCACAAAGTTGTGACTTTGATTGAGACTGATAAAGTTCCTACACATAGTGAGGACTCAGACACTTCTTAGAAAACCACCTTTAAAGTTCGGTTGATTTTGGTGGGAGTGTAAGTGTTGTTATATAGGTTTCTTATAAAAGTTTATTTTGCTTTTCTATTTATTTGGTTTAGAATTGTTTTGTAAATTTGTAAATAGTAATATTTTTGTTTTCTCCAAAAGAAAGTATTTGTTATTACACTTTTATACATCGGTTTCATTTCGTAATTTTGTTCTCGCGAGAATCTGCGAGAACTGGGGTTTACAAGGGGCCCTCAGGTAGACAGGCAGACGCTCTCTCGTGCTCAAAGACATCAGAGCGAGAGCCACTTTCACAGTGAGAAAGCAACTGTATCAGGTATCTATTTGTACATGTACGATTTTATTGTGTGTTTACATTTGTGTTTTTAATTGTTTTATATGTTGTGTACAGCTGAAACGCACATATTGTTTTCAAGTTAAGTTAAAGACCTCTGACATGACAGGCGGCCACGAGGTAGCTCATTTTAAGTTTCGTTTTTGTAATGTAGACAAGAAGTTGTGTTTAATTGCATATTTTATTTTGTCCTGTAGTTTTCACGGCATTGAAAGACACTTATGACACTTGTAAGGTCAATAAATGAGCCCGTACTCGAGAATCCGTGTGCAGCCTTGTCATTGAGGAGCTACACCGGGTGTGCAAATAGACAGGAACATTGCAAACATGTCAATGGCTGAATAAATTATAAATACATTTGTTTGTTTGTGAACATACTGTAGATGGATTTTCCTGTGGGTCTGGACATGTTGTTTCTCTGCACTGGAGAAACCCTCTGGTCGTCATTATGAAAACTGCGTCTTTGAGTCCGGTCGTCCGGAGACAAACCTCTGAAAGAGCAAATATTATAAAACTATTAGTAAACAAACTAAAGTGTAGGTGGGGCACTTTGTTTTTCCTCAAAGCGTTCCTCTGATGGCAATAAAAGATTCAAGAGCCATTGGGTGAGATAAGGACACTAAAGAACCATGACAACAGTTTGTTTGTCTGAAACGATTATGTGAAATTTAAGTCAACTTACCCGGGGGCATAGGAGAAGGGGGCAGAACCAAACATTGCTGAATTGTCTCAATAACTCCAAGACCTGTCCAATACAAATAAGTATTCCGCTATGATACCTGTAAGAGAATTTATACTTTCCTTTTTAATTGACCAAACATTTAAATGGATCGGTCAGAACCATAGCGCAGTCATTACTTATAAAATTGACGACAGGGACTTTAGATTACTTGGTATATCACAAAAACTAAAATCATGCACAATAGGCTCCTCTCAGGTGCCAGGAGTCCACTAAATATAAATGTATTAAAAAGATCAAATACAACATAAAGATGGCTTGTACTGGTTTTTGAATAAATTACAAAGACTTAAAAAAAAAAAATCAGATAATAGATGTATCAATTTTACCTCTTTACCAGCACAAGCTCTGACCTGGAGACATCGTCGTCTATATTCCTTCTCAGTGTCGTCAGTCACTGAAGAAAATTAAAACTTCCTGATTCACACAAGGATCAAAGTGCAGCAGTTGCTCCATGTGATGCTATAATGATGAGGGCAGGCCCAGTTTTTGTGCTTTACTGGTCCAAAGGTCAAATATGATGAATACAGCAGACCAAGGTCCAATCATGACTCTATATACTCAGAGCACTCACACAGAACACTTATATACTTTGTCTTGCCATAAACATTTGACAATTATTTTTGTAACATAAAAACAGGAGACCAGTTTTGAATAAGATCCTTTTATTTTACCATCTGACGTGTAAATACTGTACACACCCATAATATTCAGAGACACTAAAGTGGAACTTCTCTATTTGAAGGAAAAGAAAAAGTGAGTGTCTCTTTTCGGTCAATGAGTGGAATAATCCATCTTCTTTGAAGACTGGAGTTTAAGCTGTGGCCTGTGCGGTCTTTGCCAGAGCCTTCAGGTCTGTGATGCACTTGGCAATGCTCTGCTTCTCCTGAAAGAACAGTGTGAAGTTAATGTGATGTAATGCAAATATAAAAAGTTAAGAACGTATTCAGTATGAAATATTGCATCATGTGAGTTAATTGCAGACGCACATTTAATCCAAGGTTTTCATAATGATGAGAAATAAGGACTATTCATAGCAATCAGTCTTTAACAATTCGGGAAAAGTCCTCAAATGCCTGAACCATTGCAAAAGCCTTTTATTCAAATCCCGAATATTTAGTGACATGATGTGCACCTGCTGTGGTGTGATGCTGCCGATCACACTCTTCTCCACCCAGTTGACCATGTGCTCCTGCTCCATGCGGCGGTGCAGATCCTGAAGCGCGATCTGATAATCCAGCCGCCGCTTCACTTCGTTTGTGACCATGTGAAGTCTCTCCCTGTAGTTTGTCTCCAGAATCATCGCCACATTGTTCTGCAACACAGTGACAGTTAAAAACATTGATTTTGTCCTTAAAAATGTCAAATAAATACACATAAGATAATAGGAGCTAAATAACATTTTGAAATGATCAGAACCGTATGTTGACATTTTACATAATAAAGCAGTTCTATACAGAGTCAAATATTCTTCATTCCATACGTGATGACGATGAGAAACTACTATTGCAGTCACAGCTGCCCTGGGGTAGACCAATGGAAGCAAGGACACAAACAAACACCCACCTTACACCCCCATTCTGTTACTTTGTAACAGAAATAATACACTCTTATCTCATTATGGAACCCTGAAATCAGTCTTGGTACCCTCCAAGGCTGTTTAATTCGTCATAGGAAAGATGAATCACAATGTTTTCCTCAAAATATTTTTTTCAGCATGTCTTGATGCAAAAATCTCATTCTTATTTAATGTAAAAAGAAGGTTTCACTCCAGGGACATTGGATCGGGAAAATAACCATTCAGATCGATTAAGGGACATTTACAAAAAACAAATATAAATACCCTCTTTGCATCGAAGAGCATCGATCGTCCCTCTACTCTCCACTGCTCCTTCTTCTCATCCTCAATGGCCTGGGTCAGATTGGTCATGGCCAGATCTTTCACCTCCTGCGCCTTGGAAACTTTTTCCTGTAAACCATAAGGAACATGATAGTATGGTATGGCTTGGCATGTAAATGTCAACAAAGAATATCAACAAGAGGAAGGAATTATTCATGCCTCGTTCAATTTGTCTGCAAATGCTGCAACATCTGGACCAAATTTCTTGATGCCGTAGATTAAAACAGCTCCAATGGAGGCAGCGACAAAAGTTTCGTGGTTGATGACATAGATTTCCTTGGAAAGCATGTAGACAAGGAGCCCAGTACCAAGCATATAGGGCCCTGGAAAAAAATAAATCTAATCAATACAATCTGGTTCTACTGCAGATACTTGAACCACAGCACTAGTCTTCAGACCTGTGACTCCAGTTTTGGGGTACAGAAGTTGAAACAGCTCCTCTGGGATGATTCCATGGCGAGTTTTGCCTCCTTTCTCTGGTAGTGGAGGCACTGGGGCCAGACTCTGGGAGGATGTTTGCAGAGAGCGAGAGGCCTGGACCAGACTGTAAACAAATCACTCACCATTAGTAACAATAGTTACATCAAGAGCATACATTAAAAAAAGGTATTGAACACACACTTACCCAGGACCAAAGTGCCCACTGCCTTTCAAGGCATTAGCTGTAAACAACAGAGGACAGATGAGGGCAAATGCTCAATCGGATACGTTTGAATGTTTGGTCAAATCTGTGTAAAATATATTGAAATGACTAAGACGCCCTATGTTTACTTAACTACATAATATTAAAGTTGCAAACACTTAATCTTACGAACTGATCAGAAGTAACTAACAGGACATGAGTAACTACACAGAAGGGACCGAAATAAACAGGTCTCACTCATGCGTTGGAGATAAAACTGCATTTAGGGTTAAAGCCTAGGGTCTATGGATAAAGAGGTGTCATTAGGTGACATTTACAGACCGCTGTTAGCCGCAATTAGCGTTAGCTCTTGTGGCTAGCATTAGAACAACAGTCATAGAGAAACCATCGTAGAGACTGGATAATGGTTTTGTTTGAATGTACATGTGCAGATAATGTGCAATTCGTGATAATAGTGCACTCAGGGTGCACGTATGTAAACTGAATCTTGGCATTAGTTGAATTGAATGAGTGAGTGGCCTTCAGTTTACCCTTCAGGTCTGCACTACAAACAACACTCTAATCCCACACATGAGCAGAGTGGACCGTCTAAATACACACACTCACAAGACAAATGTGGTTACCTGAGACAAAGACGAGCCTGGACAACATGTTGAGGATGAAGTTGACAGGGCACACTTATTTCGGCCTCTTCGTGCCCTTCTGCAACTGAGAGCCGCAAAGATGGCGGACACTGGAAATATCGCTCTGTGATCTCGCGAGAAGTACACAGGCTTTACTCAACATTTCCGGTAGATGACACTGTTTGACCAAACACAAAAAAGGTTATTAGGACAAACAGTAAATCAGACTCGTAGGAATTATGATCAGACAAGGTAAAAGTATTGAAGTAATTACTTCCTTTTGTAAAAGGGCATGCTTTTAAAAACAACAAAATAGAAGGAAATTATGTGTATATAACTTCTAGCATCTTCTAAAAAGTGTTACTGTACTATACTGGAGCAGAATAAATTAAATGAAACATGTTGAAGTACAATGCTGCTACTGAAAGAAGAAGTAAGTTAGTAAGTAAACTTCTTATAAACCACTTATCACAGACCAGACTCACAAAGCGTTTTACAATTGTGGGCATTTGTCCTCTCACTCCACACAGAGATGGGAGCGGGGTCACAAGTACAGGAGGAGCATGCCAGACCTATTGAGCATCTTTTTAGTGGTAAGGGAAACGTACCAGGAGGAAACCTACACAGACATGGGTAGAACATGCAAACTCCACCCAGAAAGGCCCTGTTCCGGCCAGGATTCGAACCCAGGACTTTCTTGCTGAGAAGCGATAGAGCTATCCACTCGTGCCACTGTGCCACCCAACAGAAGCATGACTAACCACCATATAATTGTAATTGTTGACCACTCAGAATAGCAGTTGTTGCAGAACTTGAAACTGTCCTTATGAATGGTGCTTTATCATTATTGTATCATTACTTGCCCCACTTGCTTTTGTTGTTGTTCACACTGGGGGCTTTAATGTAACTAACCCAGTTTGTTTTAAATGCAGAAGAAGAACATGCAGTGAGATAAATGCTTAGATAAAGAAAAAGATACCAGAAAAAATACTTAGCAGCCCATAGTAACTAAGTAATAATACTTCCATAAATTACAGCCATAATTTACCAGTTAATAATGGTGAATGTAATGGATGTGGTCTCACACCATGCCGACATGTTTTGGGCAGGTCCTGAATTGAATGCCATCTGGTACACATATTTTTAAAAGTAAAGAGGGAAAGTTGGATTAAACATACTTCTGATGACAGGTGTATTTTTTCACTTGCAGTGGGTAAGATACGGTACATCTACGTTGTTGTCTTGATCTTGGGGACCAGCTTTCTCAAAAAAAAATGTGCAGGTCACATTTTATGTGCTACCCTCAAGGTGAAAGTCTGGAGATTAATGTACATTTCACGTCAATATTATAAGTTTACTGTTATCATCCTATTGAATAAAACGTGACTGTCTATGTGTATACACTGATAGTATACTGGCCACAAACCAAAGCCGGCGTCTTACTTATGGGGAACCAACGAGGAGAACCAAAAGAAAAGGTCCAAAAGGCCATAGGTGCTTTTGAGTGGGGTGGCCTGGGTCTGGGTGTAATCTTGAGGCCCACCCGTGCATGGCATCAGCTCTGAGCGAGATAGAGGAACATATGACGCTGTGGTTCACCCGACTTCCTGTAAATTTAAGCTCAACAGAACAAGCGCCATGTGAAACAGACACAACTTTGACAGAGCGACAAAATGGATGGCTGCTTTAGGACTGTATGTTTGCAATCTGCCAGGGAGCAGTAGGTAAGTGGCTACATAATTATTATACATGTCTATTTGTATTTTTAGAGTTGTGTAAGCACTTTTCCTGCCTATATTAGCTGAAGAACATCAGAGCATCTCTTTGCCAGTTATTGACTAATTTATTCCTCCAATTCTGCACCTAACCTATTGTAATGTGCATTTACGGTCTGTAAATGCTCTATTTGTATTTCTTGGTAAATACAATGATTTCAAATTTGCTTTATAAATACAGGGATAAAACATACCTATATGAAAAAAACTTTAAAAGATTCCTATTGCTGCAGCTGTTTTGCATCCAATAAATGAGTGGTACTCTTTGTTCCAAGATTCCCAGAACACAGTGCTTTGTCCATATATGCTGTGACATATCAGCTCTGCTCAGACATGCTACAAACACTAAAGTCATTCAATTACAATAGCAGCACCAAAGAACAGAGCTCTGAGATACTTCAGATACTAGTTCACTTCCTTTAACAACAATTCTGCCTCTTAAATTCAATCAAGTGAAGTCAACCAAAGAAAATCGTTTGTGACTAAACAAACGCCCTCTCGATCGATTAGATGATTAAAAGGGGGTGTGGCAAATGCTCTAAGTATTTTCACGTACCTATTACGAGTACTCACAAAAGGTTTAGGACCTCATTAGGAAAACAATGAAATATCAAGCAATCATTTACAAAACATGGTTGAATGGAGAGTTTGAGCTGGCATGAATATGAATAAAATACCAACATCTTCAGCTGTTTGGCTGTTTTTGCCGTTTTTACGTAGATATTATTGTCATTAAGGTAAAATAATCAGTCAATTAATGGAAATTTTGGTCCATCAACCGATCAACTAAACAACTAACAATTAAAAGCCCTAATAAAATCAATTCACGATTTTCAAATTTCACACACAAAAATAAATGTGTGGAATGCATTTTGTGCCTACGAACATAACACCTGAGGCCACTGAAAAATGCAACAATTTATTCTATCTTTTCAGTTCATGGATCTGCCATGGACACAGTGGCTGCTGGAAAAGTCCACCTGTCTACATTAAACTTTGAAGAGAAATCCCTGATCAGAGCGGAGCAGCACGAACTCCTGAGAGGCAAGAAAAATAGCACGTCCTGCCGCAGCCCGACGCGAGAGTTTGACACAAAGTCGATAAAGAATGAGCTCAAAGAAAAGAGGCAGCTGGAGTTTCTGAAGCGGAGATCTGTGAGTCCAGAAATGTGTGGTTCAAAGTCTGCCGAGAGACAGTCCGAGAAAAGGAGAATATATAGGAATAGGTCTTTCACTTCAGAGACAAGCATAGAGCAGTCCAGTCCCACTGGGAATGGACGTCCTATACTGCTAGACAGAAGTTTGAGTCAATCTCCAAGCTTCAACAAATGGGTAAGTTAATAATTACAAATACATTGTCATTTATGTTTTCGGTAAGTTCATTATTTAAAAAAATATTGTTCTTCAGACTTCATTATGGTCTACAAAGCACCAAACCTCTACATCAGACACCAAAGACGCTCCAATGTCATTAATGGGAAAAAGCTCAGTGAATGGTGAGTACTAACTTTCATATTTGTTGCCAGCTTGAATTAAATCAAGTACACTTTTTTATGTCCAAGTACATACCACAAGTGTAATTCAATCAAAGAAGGTTCAACAAAGACTGACTCAGCAAAGTGAGTTTATTCAAGTGAAGAAGATGCTGAAAGAGGCCGGTGTGCAGACAGAGTAAGTATAGTGAGCACTGGAGGTGTAAAGTAGAAATTATGCTGGAAAATTACTTTTTATTTCTCTTTGCAGGTGCGGTTCTGTCACAATCAGGGAAACTGTAAGTAATGCCTTGTTAACTCACTATAAGTGTGTTAATACTGTAAGAAAACGGGTAATCATGTTTTATGTTACATTTCTTTCAAACTAGGATCTGCAGACGTTGGCTGACTACTTGGAGGTAAACATTCTCAATGTGTATACCTACAGCAAAAGGGCATTCATAACAATATTATATCTTCCATAATCACAAAGAGAGCACAATTTTGAATGTTGTGAGAGCCTTAATTAAGCAGAATAAATACAGACTAGATTGGATCATGTTTTGAATCAGGAGGCCCTTTGGCGAGAGCAGACTCTTAAGAAGAAGCTGGCGTCTCTCCAGGAAAGCACCACTAACCTTGTGAACTCCACTGATCAAGTCTGGACGGTGAGCCACATTCTCTCAACACTGACAACGTTTACCCATAATAAGGTTTATTTCCTGTTTTACTGTGTCAATTATTTACTGCCCTATTGTTGTGCACTTCTTCAGTTTGATTTCATGAGTTTGAGACAGGAGGTCTGTGCACGTGTGGTTTTGAAGCTTCCTTCTTCCGCTCGGCAGCAGAATGTTTCATTCTTAAAAAAGGATTTTTTTTCAATAAAAAAGCCAGCGTACCAAACTCTCAAACCACAGAAATTTAACCAAAATATTAATAAAAAGTAATACAAACTATCTCACAAGTTCAAAACGAGATCAATGCTTTTCACATACATATGGAAACTAGTGAAATTCTGTGATTTTAAAATGAAATTATTGTTTTCATACTAACATTAAAATCATTTTAAATCATTTTAAAATCGTTTTTACAATATTTTTCTGTTAATTTTACTGTACTACTGTACTACTTTACTTACTCTTTTATTTCTTTTACAGTGTATCATACTTTTATGCATAATGTAAACATGTCTCTTTTCCTTTGAGCTTTATATAAGGTAGTATTTAATGTTTGGTGCATACAGTAGTTTGTGATTACCTTTTTGAGGTCAATGTTGGTACATTTCCCCATAACTGTAGCTTCAATTGTTCACGCCTGCAATTCCTTTGTAACCCACACAGACCCGTTGCAGCGAAGACCTTCTGAGAAACAAGATCCGGGCTTTGGAGGCGCAGCTGCACGTCTGTCTGCAGGTGAGAGAAGAAATCAACCATACAACATTCAAATCAAATGGTTCTTTCATTGTTTGTGTCACTTTTCACTGTGCAATACTGTACAAAGTGATTGTTGTATTTACAGAGGTTTCCTAAAGATGCTGTGAAGAAGCTGGTTTTGCAGATGGAGAAGCAGAAGTTGGTTTATGAAGACAAGGCAGTTATTGCTTTGCAGAAAGCCACCCAGGAGAAAAGTGAAGCTGTGACCAAAGCAGAAACACTCCAGGTATACTCAATTACAGCGATATCAAGGATTAACTCCGGAGATTGAAAATGCACGTCTGTTAAAAACGAGCATATTATTAATCAAACAATCAAGCTGTACTTCAGAAGTTCTAAACATGAAAGACATGTAGCTCAAAGCTCTTTACATAGACACATCGGCTAAAAAACTCACTCTTTCTCTGAGGGTTAGGGTTAGAAAAAAACAGACACAGGAAGAAACAGTTTTTAGGTATTTTTCTACAGCCCTGAATCACAACAGCAGTTATCTCAGAGGACTTCACAAAGTTGTTGATTTGATCACAGATCAGAGAATCAAACATTTGAACAGTGTTATCAAACGTAGGTCTCTTCTATAAAAAAGGAGAGATTTAAAACTGCTTTAATGATGTCTTTCAATTGATTGTCGTTTTCAAGGCATTATTGGTCTTGATTCTGTCCCACAGGCGGCTCTGGCCACAGCGCAGACTGAGACTCAGCGATGGCAACGTCTCTACGATGAACTCAGACTGAGCTCTGAGTTGCTCACACAAAAACACCACCAAAGTAGTGAGCAACTGCTGCAAGTGCTCAACCAACTGGAGGTACATCCACGGGGGGCGGACCGAGGGAAACCAGTCCAAAACGAGTTTGGGTCTTGAGCATGTGTGTTTGCAGCTGTCCCGGGTCAGAGGAGCAGAGCTGACAGAGGAAGTCGTCTCACTAAAGCAACACAACCAGGAGCTCCAATACAACATTGTTCTGCTGGAGGAGGACAGCACTGCACTGAGAGATGAAATACTCAACTTAAGACGTCAGTGTGTCCACCTTGTACTGCATTTACAGCAAGAGTATTCGCAATATAATACATCTGTTTATTTCTAAAGATGGAAGCAGCGAGACGGAAGAGGTCCTGATGCAGCAAATGTTGAAGCCAAAAGAAATCGAGGAGTGTTTACAAGAGAAGGAGTCACCTGAGGTCAATGAGCAGCTACTGCGCACTTTAGAGAAACTTCAGCTTAAAGAAAAAGAGGTGAACAAAACATTCAAAACATATCCAATTTCAGACACTATGTCTCCAAATATAACTACACCAGAGGGGATATTTTTGGAGCCATGAACCCTTACTCTTATTTGCCATATCTTTACACCGATAAAACCTTTATTTTGTTTTGTGTTTCTCTTTCTCTCTCTACATATATGTATAGATATATATATAAATATATATATTTCATAGCCTTCCAATTAAATCAATTGAAAAATAAAAGTAAATAAAATAAAATAGGTACACACTACATATGTAAATAGGTAAATCTTGGTTTCTCATTTATCAGACATAAAGTAAATGTCCATAAAACACTTTATTGTCTTGTCTCAGTGCGAGGAGCTGCAGTCAGAGCTGAGTGTGATGCAGATGGAGTTTCGGTCGACACAGAAGCGTCTGTCTCAGTGCAGAGAGCAGCTTCGGCAGCTGCCCCACCGCCCCAGGACTGAGGCCAGTGCAGTTTGCATATGAGCCTTTCATCTTTTAGTGCCACCGTGTCTCAGCATTATTACAATATTAATCTGCAGCTCACATTTACTGTATTCTTAAAGCTGCGGTAATTCACTTTTTACAGTTTCATCAATTGAGGTTTTCTTTTCATCAAGTGCATCGTAAACACTGAACTTTACAACAGAAATGGGTTGGTTACACATTGTATTCGAGAAAACATTTGAACTATTCCATAATTAAAGACTCAGTCACGATCTGATGCTTTGGGATGAGCGTTTGATAATCCATCCTAATTCATTTTTGTTTGTTGATAAAGCTGCTCTATGATGATTGTGCTGCTGTTTAAACATGATTACATGTGAACACTAATGATATTTGACAAACACAAGAGGGATTTTACTTTCTCTTCCTAATCTGTTAATCCCATTGTTGGGTTGCAGATGAAATAACACAATAGGAATTTCCGTAAAGTCATATTATTTGTGTTCCAAAACAGTGAGGTTTAGGACTTTACTAATATGAATGTAACTAATAGCATCATATTTATATCTATATTTATTTCTGTCTTTGTCCAGGCGGGGGGGTGTTCCTGGCTGGCATGGAGTCTGATCGTCCTGGTGGTCTTGGCGCTGGCTGTGGTGGGTGGCTTGTTGTGGTTCCCTCCGTTCAGAGAACAGCTTGAGGACTTCTACTCCGACATAGAGACCAGGATCCAGGATTATCTGCATGAGATGTCCTCCCCCCAACACTCTGGCTGTTTTAGACCCGTATGATGCTTAATAAAGTTCTTTTTAGTTTTAGCTTTTTTAGTTTTTGAATGTTCATTGTTTCAAGACAAAGATGAATTTTGTTAGCAGGTACTTGAATATCCTGTGTTAATTTTGTGATGGTACCCTTTTCAAATGTACTGTATCTTTAATACAAATGAAACTATTGACCAGTTGTGTGTGATTTATTTAAAATGCATACATTTCTGCATACATTCTTCATTGACTGTGTTGTTTCCTTCATTTTTTGTAGTCATTCACTTGCACCCCAGGTAAAATCTTTGCTCTCATTTAGTCCTGACCAAGAGCAACAACATCTGGAGATAGGTCCAAAGGCGCTACACTATGGCGACTACCGAGGTGGCATACAGTGGCGTTGAAGGATGGGTCAAATGCAGAAGTCCCATTTTCCTACAGGGAAAATAATGTAAACCTCACTTTATAATACCTATTTTAAAACCAATAGGTATTTGAAAACTATTATCATAAAAAAGATGTATCCAATAGTGTTGAGGTACTATCTCCTCTGTGAAATACAGTATATTTGAAGCCATTGCTCATTATAAGATATTATCATTTACCATTTATTGTTCACTCAAAGACAAACCTTGCGAAAACATTGGAATTTACCCGGAAAGGCCTATTTTTAAGTTTGAATATGGAATTTCCCAGTTAACTATTTTAAAACACTCACTTACAACTCTTCCAGTCGGCCCCATTGTCACTGCCCCTCTGTCAGTCTGACCATTGTTCTGAGTATTTCCAGGTGCAGCCCTGTTGTCTCATAGCTCTGCATCAGCACATCCAGAATCCACCTGCAGCCTCCCAGAAATCTCCACTCTCAGTCAAAAAGATATGGCCTCCTACTTCGACACAGCTCCACTTTTAGTCAAACTAAAACGGCTCAGGCCGGGTGAGTGCGGTGCTTCCTGTAGCACGTTTCACCACTTATGGGAACTTGCTAAACAGTTTTTAACTTTGATAGATCAAGATGCAAGATGAGGACACTGGTGCTGCTGGTTTTGGGGATGTGTTTGTTTGACGCTGCACGTTCTCTGAAAATATGTGCCTTCAACGTCCAGAGCTTTGGAGAGGCCAAGGCGCACAACAAGAGGGTCATGGGCATCTTACTCAAGGTACGTCTCTGACAGGATTGTGTAGAAACGAAAGGGAAAAAGAGAAATATACAGAAAACAAAAAGCAAAAACTCAGCTTGAAAGTAGTAATGACATTACAGAGATCTACAAAAGGGGAAATGGAAATGTAAGATAAGTTTGCTGCTCATGCTTACAAACTAGCAATGTATAGTAGACAATAACTTAGGACTTTAAGTAACTAATCAATAATTGAAATAGTTGTCAAAACATTTTTTAATAATATATAATTTGTTTTTAAGCATATATAGACTTAAACATGCCGAGATGCTGAGTGCAGAATTAAATTAAAATGTGCTTTGAAAATGTAAAAAGTACTTTCTGTGAAGATGTTCTCCTGGGGCATCACTTGAGTTGTTTTTTTGCTCAAATGTATAAAGAAATCTCATATTCACTGGCCTTTCCAGACCCAAACAACTTGATTAAGAGGAGAATTACCCTTGAGAATATTATATAGAGGCAAAGTCATGTTTTTCTCCTCCATCAGGTTAATACATAGTTCATGTACCTTAGTTCATCTCGTCTTTTTGGAAGATGATACGTATTTGTTCGTCTATATTGAACAATTTAATACAATGATTCTGATAACATTCTTCGTATGGGCCGACCTAAATAAACAAACAAGTCTAATAAACTGATACGCCACAGTGTCCGACGTCTCGCTTCTGTCATCACGATGTGGAGAGAGTGGAAAATATTAGTAGTAGAGATATCATTTAAGGTGATTGGGTTGAAAGATTGTTTAGTTGCTGACAGTGATCATCTGTGATCAGAAAGCACTATTATCACCACTAGCCAGAAATACTTCTCACGATACTTTCTGCTCAGATCCTCTCTCGATGCGACCTGAGTCTAATCCAGGAGGTCAGAGACTCGAAGGGAGAAGCGATCCAGGCACTTGTCAACAGCCTGAACCGGTATGGAAAAATCAACCCTTGAATAACGTGTTCTTATTAACACACCTCACCTGTATGTGTGTGTGTGTGTGTGTGTGTGTGTGTGTCAATAGATATGACAAGTCAAACTCCTACTCCTCTTTACAAAGTGAGCGACTCGGAAGGAAAACGTATAAGGAGCAGTACGTCTACATCTACAGGTGACATTTCAACATGATTTGAACATGACAGTAAATCAGAAAGGCTTCATTTTACACTGAGGTTGTGTTTCCTGGACAGAGATAATGTTCTGAAGCTCAAGGATCATTACCAGTATCCCAAACAGGAACCGGATGGGACCAACGAGACTGAGGTGTTCTCCAGGGAGCCCTTCATTGCTCGCTTTCACTCCCCATCGACATGTAAGGACAGACCTGCATGAAACAAAAATGGAATATTAAGTACAAACTGAGGTGCACCTACATACTAAAGGCTTAAGAGTATGCAATTAGGACAGAATCAACTCATAACTATAGTGAACTAAACTTAAGTGTTGTTTGTGTGTTTGGGCTCACTATGTTTTACAGTAATGAAGGACTTGGTTCTGATTGGCCAACACACCTGCCCCAAAAACGCCATGAAAGAGATTGATGAGCTGTACACCGTGTTCAAAGGAATCTACAAGAAATGGAAAACAGATGTAAGTGTACGACAACAAGGATTTTTCAACCAGGATTTTTTAATCATAAATACCCACTCAGTTGTATTCTGTATCCAATATAACTTTACTATAGCTGATGAGGAACCATAAAAAACAAAATCAACTTTCACATTATAACATGTGCTTTACTGCGTCAGAATGTGATGATTTTGGGAGACCTGAACGCTGCCTGTCACTACGTCACCCAGAAAGGCTGGAGGAGCGTGAGGCTGAGGGGCGACCCCAAGTTCCAGTGGCTCATTGGGGACGAGCAGGACACCACAGTGAGGGCGAAGACCAACTGCGCCTATGACCGGTCAGTACCAGACTACGCAAGACAACTTCTGTGTCTTGCCTCCTCAACATGAATCCAGGCCTATTACACATTCAGGGTACATACACTTTTTAATTTATTTTTTTGGTGATCCTAATTTTGGGATATTGATTATAAGTCATTATTTTATTGTATTTTTTCTTATTTATTAGGCATTCAACATTTTAAAAAACCTAGCTTGATGCTTACAAGACAATGGTTCTTGAACATCAGTACGGTATTTTGGCTGATAATAAGTAATAGTAGTAATAAACAAGTAAAATTAAACATTTTGTGGTCAACTAATCAAGGGCATGTCCAAAAGCAACAGTGGAGCAAACATATTTATCAAGCCACTGATATTGCACATGCTGTTTTACTTTATAGAACCTGGATTGATGACAACACGATTATTTTTGTGTAGCTCAGTCTGAAACATAATTTGAGTCAGTCTGTTTAGTTCAGTTTCATCAGAAAGTCAGCATGTTTTAATGAGTCAAACATTTTCTATATACATAAATGAACTAAACACTCTCCTTCAGGATCATCGTCCATGGGCGAGAGATCATCTCCAGCATCGTCCCAGGTTCAGCTCAACCGTTTAACTTCAAAGAGAACTTCCATCTTACTGAGGAAGAGGTACAGTAGTCTTGTATAATAATACACACTATTCACATTTGAAAGAACAAAGTGATTTAGGATCTGATCGTGTTTCTAAAGGCCCTTGAAGTGAGCGATCACTTCCCTGTGGAGGTGGAGCTGAAGCCAAACCATCGCTACCTGCTTCGCCATGAGCTGTAGAGCAAAAACATCTGACACGTTTGTTTTAAAGGGACTGATCCATTTAGTTATACTGTATTACAGTGCATTGTGCCATTTATGATTATGAATACTGATTGTATTTTCATTAAAATGGTCCACAAAACAAATGTAAAATATTGTAGTCTCTTGTTACTGTAGAAACCAGCTATTTAATGCAAAGATCAAATCACATTTGATCTTTGCATTTGTGGGTTTTATCTTCACACTTTTTGTTACGTTTTTAAGATTTGAAAGATATAATATTGAGTTTTACATAATCAGTGTAATGTGTGCAATGCGTGCAATTTATCATTCTAGAAAAGATACTGTAATAACTGAAGACCACCACTTGAACACACACTTTGCCAATAATAATAGACACAAGATACAAGTGGTAATTTCAATTTCCAAATGTCTTAAAGCAGGGGCCTGTAAAACCGTTTGTTCTACCACTTTTACGTGCATGTATTTTTGGAATTTTTCATCATCTGTTTCAGTCAGAGAGCGGACAAAATAAAAAAGAGAGGGGACCGCCCTCACTCAGCTCTCAGCCTGAAGTGTCAAATCGTGACTCACAGGGCTCTTTCTTAATTATACAAAAGAGAACATGTTTTATAATGAAGACAGTGCATTGTGGTCAGATTTGTTCACAAGACATTTCACTTTTAATTGACTTTTCTCCTAGTTAAGGGGAAAAGTTAGGTACCCCAGCTTTAAGCTTGTACATATTTTCTTTTTCAGACTTGCATCCTTACAAAATCCCTCAACGTTCCTTTTTATTTGTACAATCCCCAAAACAACTGACTGCATTTTGCTGTATTTCCTTCAAATGTTGTTTCATATCGATACCTGTGTTTTCAAACTTGGAGAGCACTGTGGCTTTTATCTGGTGCAGCCTTCGTTCTGCAGGAAGTGACTCTGACGGCTCAGTTTGTTTGTGGTCACTTCTTTTCAGAGATACAGTGTTTGAGTGAACCTGATGTTTATTTCGGCAAACGTTATTTTCTGTTGATTCTTAAAGATGGAAAAGAGCATTTCTGATCTACTCAATGATGCATTTTCAGGTAAGAACCATATTGGGCTAAATGCATTGTTTTTAATTAAATGTTTTCTGCATATATTATATAATATTTGCATTAACCGTTTTGAGTTTTAAGTTCCCAATAGTTAATCAGGCTGGATTTTTTTCTTTCATAAAGCTAACTTGAAGCTGCAGTAACTAACTTTGAAACCACAAAAAAAAACTGAACTGTGTAATAACATTTACCAACTAGTTTGGTACGATCATTAGTTTTCACATGCATGTTTTTTTTAGGCGGTTTTAGATGATGAAGAAAGGAACAGCCTCACTCAGCCAATCAGCAATCAGCTCACAGGGGTCATACAAGTATGCATAATAGGTTTTGTTTTCTAATAAGATAAAAACCACATGTTGCATGATTTGGTCACAAAAAATATTTTAAAAACCTTTTTAAAAACTTTAAAAAATACATGCATAAATCTTAATAGTGTTGGCAAAGTTACTTAAAACACGTAATTACACGTGTATTACTTGTTATTGTTATTTCAATGTAATGTGTAAAACTACAATATTACTGTTTCTGAATTGTAATCTAATACTGCAATACTTTTAAATTACCAATATATATACATACCAGATATAGCTAATCATGATATTGCATAAGATTGATAGAGCTTTTGGTTTCACACATAAAGTGTACTTAAGTATCCCCATTTTGGAATGAATCAAAATTCCTGCATTACAGCAAAAAGCAATACATTACAGAATAATTACATTACTTTTGTGAGGCATTACTCCTAACACTGCATCTAAATATGTATATCTTAAACATCATATTTGATCTATGGTGTGTGCTAAATGCACGTATATTTTCAGGAAGCTCTAATCTCTCATTTCCTGAAGATGAAGACCTGGATTTTGAAGATCTAGATTTTAAAGTGGGTGTGAGTCAAGACAAAACAACTGTAAAGCAGGAAGACGCCGCTCCTTTGCTGGATATGTTTTCTTTAAATCAAAACAAACAAGAAGTATTGAATGCCAGTCCAGACGAAGGGACAGAAGCCAAAATTCAAAATGAATGTGGGAATTTCATTGATCCAATTCAATGTAGAATTGAAAATGAGTTTTGCATAATGGAAGAAAGTCAGTCTCATAATGATCCTCGCAATAAAATCTATGGCACAGCTTTAGAGTGCAAGGGGAACGTTGGAAACAAGAGCAAGCCTTACAGCAATGAAGACATATTTAGTGCTAATAATATTGAGGATGTGGAGGTCAAAGAGAGACTTGAGGGTGGCACTAATGAAGAGAGACAGACAGAGCATAAAGGTGAAATTGAACCAAAACCTGCAGAATTAGAGATTCTGCACAACACCACTGACACTGAACCGGTCTACGCAACAGGACATGATGTGGAGCAAAAGGACAAGACTCAAGGAAGAAAGCAGGGAGAAAGAAGGGAGAAGGAAGGGTATTTTTGTCTCATTCAGGGAGATGAAGGCAATTTGGTGATACAAGATGATAGCAGCGAGGAGGACTTTCAAATAGAGCCAATAAAAACAACGTTCTTCCAGGTTGAGTATACTTTGGAATATCCTGAAATCACATATGACCATATAGAAGAGTTGAAAGAAGATAACATTAAGATGGAAGATTTCTCAGGGGAGCATCATCAAGAGGCTGGAGAGAGTCTTGCGGATTATCCGTCAGACTTTTCCTCGTGTGAATATGAAGACGGGAAGAGAACGGAGCCGTCCAGAGACTTTGAACAACGAGAGAAGAGAACAACAGAGAAAGGTTTTGTGGACAGTGAAGCTTTCGATCACTGCACGGATGAAAGCAGCGGGTTTTGCAGCAGAGACGCATTGTTAAAAGTCTTCAAGAAAAATGAATGCTTAGAATTAGGAGAAAGACAAGTTGGTCACAGTTGGTCAGAAGTTGACGATGTGTTTTCTAAGTGGCGTATTGCTAATGACGATACACAAAGAACATGCATAACTGATTCTACAAGGCCCTGTCAATCAGAAAGTAGGGAGCCAGATATTTCAATGATGAACGAGGATGAAGGTTTGGTGAAGGAAGGAGTCCAAACCACAGCATCCTTGAGCTGTGGGTCACTGAAAGAGGGTTTCTCCTTAAATGATAAAGCAGGTGTGTTTGGAGCGATAGAGGAAGAGGAGGGTGGAGACGAAGAGGAGGAGAGGAGACAGGAGCAGCAGAGGATCCAAGCTTTTTACAGATTTTATGACGACCAAGACGGAGATGGCAACAAGAGAGGCAAGTTGATGAGATGATTTAAGTTAGTTTACAGTTTATTTGTGTGGAAAAATCATCTAACAAGTAAGTAAGTAAGTAAGTAAGCTTTATTTATATACCGCCTTTCACAGACCAGAGTCACAAAGCGGTTTACAATTGTTATTTTTTTTTTTTTGGGCATTTGTCCTTTCACTCCACACAGAGATGGGAGCGGGGTCGCCGAACAGGAGGCGCATGCCAGACCTATTGTACATATTTTTAGTGGTAGGGGAAACCGGAGTACCCGGAGGAAACCTACGCAGACACGGGGAGAACATGCAAACTCCACTCAGAAAGGCCCTGGTCCGGCCAGGATTCGAACCCAGGACCTTCTTGCTGAGAGGCGAGAGTGCTATCCACTCAGCCACCGTGCCGCCCAAGTTGGACAGATAATTTAATCAGAATCAGATGTTTTATTTTACAGGAAACATCTGTTCTGATTAGATCCATGTGTTTCTTGTTGACATACTGTGAAACATTTAAAGTGAAGTGGTAACATATTTCATACTTCAAAACAAAAAGCCAATATTAGCAGTATTGCTTCTATGTTTGTGAAGTGGTGTTTTTATTTTATGGACTTCGAGTCTGACAAATAAAGATAATAATAATAATAATAATATAGAAGAAGAGGACACCTTCTCAGAGTTTCCCACTTCACACAGTATATTTAACATACACACAATTCATGCAAAGTAATACATGACAGCCAATCCACTAAATTAAAAGCATGAATATGTTGTATTTGTATTCCTTTTAAATAAGAAGTTTAAATGGAATCGTAATCTAAGAAGGTTTCCACAATCCTGACTTTTTTGCTTGTATTAATGGAGATGTTCAAAGATGACCTGCCACATGAAAGATTTACATATTGTTGCTTTGGGAAAATATACTACAAATGTGGCTTCATTTTAACCTTATTTGTATATATAAATGTATCTAACTATGATCTATCTATATCCTTTAGAGAGACAAAGAAAAGTCCAGTTTTGTGTTGAAGCATTGTCCCAGGTGATCCAATCTGACACAGACAGGTGAGAGGACCTTTTTCATCTAATCAATATTTATGAGTGAGTGATATTTCTTATGTGAATATGTGTAGGAGCAGAGAAATAAGCAGTTCTTCAAGTGAGGAAGAGTCGTGTGAGGAAGAGGACTGTGAGGAAGAGGAGTATGAGGAAGAGGAGTGTGAGGGGGGCACTGACCAAACTTACGAGACTGAGATACATCCCTCCATGGATTCAGATGAAGCAGAGTTTTTTCATGAAGATTTAACTCAGACAGAGGCACCTCCCAGAACACCAGGCAAAGTTACAGAGAGCACCATCTGCAACACAAACCACACGGTATTAAGTTGTGTCACATGATTGGGCCAATATTGCAGTGATTCGTTGACATTGTTGCTGTGCTGTTTCTTCTTGCAGTTTCTCTTTGTGTTGAAGCTGATGCTGAGTCTGCTCTTGGCCCTTGTGGTGGGGCTGATTATCATCTGGTGGGTCTCGGGTGCAGAAGAGAGACTCCATTTGGAACTTTAAACTATACGGAAAACATTTACAGTGTTTAAAAAAAACATAATTTTGTGACATTTTCATAGACATTCTGTGACACACAAGTGCCTTGATAAAATAAAAATAATGTGTGTGCTCTCGCCACACAAATAAACATAGCATTAATGGAGAGTCTTTTAAACTGCTTTAACTCCTGCCTGTACTGTCTTTGTAAATTATTTGTAATTGTTAGCTGTAACAATCAAGTTATGTAAATAGCCTACAGTAAATAAAGCCTACAGACCAGCCGCGGCGCCAGGGATAGGCCCGGGTAGGCTGGTGCCTACCAGTTTTTTTCTTGGCCTACTCAAATTTGTTCTTCGCCTCTCAAGTCATTAGCCTTTTTATTAAAAGTCATAATTTTAATATTGTTATTTTTATACACACATTATTGCCTAAATGTTGCGTTCTAATGTTTTAAGAAAATGTAACCCCCTGAGCGTTCACGTTGCTTCAAATAGTCCTGTTTATTGGCTGAATAATTTTGTCCAATAATCTGCATGATCATATCACGCAGCGCAAAGCTCGTTCCCGAGAACAAGCAGCCATTCCTCGTCTTTAAGATTGACAACGCTCTCAAAACATTCACAACAGAGCAGCCTTTTTAGTCATTTTAGTTTTAAGAAAGTTCAGCGTGAACTTCGTGAGGTAGAGGAGCCAGAGGCCCGGGCCCGTAGGTCCCAGAGGAGGAGAGCGCAGTCAGGCCAGGTTCACCTCGCACTGATGAGGTAAACCCCAGGCCTGTGTGAGACACAGGGCCTCATGTATGAAACTTGCTGTGTTTTCATTGAGCATCATGTTTCAAAAGTTGAATTTGCGCATCGGAAAAAGTCTAATGGAAAAATGCAAACTTCGAATAAATCACAGCTCATGATCAGGACCCTCTATTAAATCTGACTTGTGTGTGTATTATTTTGATCTGTATATATTTTTTAAATGTGAAGCGGTTTGTGATCCTGAACTGTGAAAGGCTCTATATACAGTAAATACACTTTACGCAACAGGGATGTGTGACCCAGCTATTGCTGTGACAGGCTCTGCACTGCGTAATTACGCACGGCTATTTGTATTCCTCACATCTGGTAAAGCAATGTGTTATTTCATTAGATTTGTGTTAGCCTCACACAGACACACACCCCAATAACGCACCGATGGTATTGCTCACTCCAAATGTCTCACTGCCCTGTCCAGAGTGCGCAGCGAGTGCCGTGAGATATCGCGCCACATAACTCCTCAAATGTGCAGAAGTTTTGGCTTCAGTTTCTTTGTGAAATCTGGACCGCAAACGCTCTCTGAAGTGTACAGCGCTTCAATGCGCACTTCTACCCCGAGCCAGGCTGCGTCCAAGACACTGCAGACGCTTCATTCATGAGAGCCACCGCTGCATAATAAATATGAATTCATTCATTCAATCAATCTATATTTATTCACTTCTACAATTCAAGAGAGATTTTTCTAATGTATCAAAACTATTTTTGCAAATTTGTGCAAAACGCATGCTGAATATATAGCGTATATTTATTTTTACATAAACATAACAAACAAACGTGCCTTTTGAGGGTTCCAACAGTCTTTTTGGACTTTCGTGCTGACCTGTCGCGAACATTGCTGCATAATTCTAGGCGTGACTTTCATAAATACGTTCGTATTCAGCCGATTTATCAACACCCGCAGCTGCGTATATGCTCAGATCTGGGCTGATCTCACATGTTCATAAATCCGACGTTGGATTTTGCGTAAATGGAATATACACCCCAAATGTACACATTTTTCTACGCAAGTTTCATAAATGAGCTTGTGTGTATGCGTGTGCTTGGGTGCGTGTGTGTGCGTGCGTGCGTTTGAACCATATTCTTTGAAACCCCAATTCCAGCTACCCCTTGTAGTTTGCGTGCGAATTTGGCCTACTTACTAATCTGCAGGCCTACCTAAAATTGCAAACCTGGCGCCGCTACTGCTACAGACATATGTGTTTTTTATTTACGGCGGTGAAGTGTCACGTAAACACAAACACGCGTCGAAGCCAGTCAGAGTTTGAGTAGATTTAATGTACAGTTAAATGTTAGACAAACACTAGAGGGCAATGTTGTGTGTGTGCAGTGGAGTGAAGCCACCAACGGAGCTTTATGCACAGAAGAAAAATGAACCATTACTGATATGCGACTGTTCTAGTCACCATTATAAGCCGCGCGGGCGGTGCTACCACATAACCAGCGCCATCAATACTCTGTTTCAAAATTCAAACCAACGACCGACTCCATGACGCGAAACGAGCACATATGGGAGGAGTCAGTCGTGTTTTCATTTCACCAACAGAAAACTGAATCGTTAGAAAGATTCAAGTTTGGGGCCTTTATATGTTTTATTTATTCTAAGTGTATGCATATTACCACTCATGGCCAACCTAAGTGAAAAGACAGCGGATGAACTCTGCGCGCTGCTCGATGAGTATGGGGTCAAACACGGGCCCATTGTGGGTAAGTCAAAAGTTAGTGACTCATATGTTGGCTATTTGTGTTTCAACTTACAGTCTATGGTTTCAACCAGTTTGATTTTAACTATTTTATGCCCGTATAGACTCCACCAGAGGATTGTACGAGAAGAAACTACGAGAGGCCATGACCAAAGCAAAGAAGTCTTCACCAGACAAAACTTACTACAGAGAAGAAGGTAAATCCCAAACATAGATAATTGTGAAATAGATAAATCATTTAGTAATCCCAGGAGGAAACATTATAGTTCAAATCAGGAGCTGATACATACAGCACACAACAAAACTTTAGACAGATACATAAATACATTATAATAATCATTAGAATGTGCTCTGCTTGTGACTGTCACCACAGAGGTCCCCAATTTAATCTTGAGAGACCAAAAACTACTCAAAACACAACAAACTCTCCCTCAATTTTCACTTAATAAACTATTGCATTACGTATTGATTTTGGCACGTAACATTGTTTTGTTCTTTTCTTAGAAGAGGAAGTTGTGACATATGTGACCCGAACTCCTGTAAGTGCTGGTGAACATGATTCTGGAAGATTTTGTTCATTTGAACTTCTCAATTGATTTCATTTTGTAAACTGTTTTCAGGTCAGAACAGGGCCAATAGGTGACAGGTCAGTTTGAGAAATATTAAGTTTAATTGGCCTTTAGCACCCAAGCATAATAAATCATTATGCTTTTTTTTTGCAGTGGGGCATATATGAGGTCGAGACCAGAGTGGACGGAAAGGGAATACCAAAATGAGTGAGTTACTTAAGTTATACATCTATACCTATACTTAAAGAAATAAGGCTTCATTTAATCAATATCTGTGTTTTTGCAGAGCGTCATACTCGAGCCATTCAAGACCCACGTCTGATCACAGAGGAAGAGATTATATTGATGAGTATGTTTTGTAATTATTTTTCAGGGTTCCCATTTGTTTTTAATGTCACAACACAAGCCATAAAATGTACGTAACTTGATTCAATGTTTAGGGGAAGGTATTTCCTTTTCAATAATTTTTATGTGGCAACAATCCAAGAGTGATGTAATAGCACTTCAATCAATCCTGCAATTTAAGATCCTAAAATGCCCTAGTACCTACAGATTAACAAACCCATTCTGACAAAGCTCACAACTAGGGCTGGGCAATCTGGGGAAATGAGCTATCACCATAGAAGAGATAATCTGATCTTGATTTTAAAGCTATTTATGTTTAGAAAGATTGAGATCTTTTGATCTCTGATATGTCAAATCTACATCATTATACCCTGATTTGTGGTTTATTGGGTTTGCTACTTAGGAAATCACTTCCAGCACTCCATTATCTTCCAGCAGGTTATTACACCCAGTAATAACTGAAAACATGTTTACAAAGCAATTGAATATGATAAAGTTTACCCATTCAACTGTGGAACTGACACATTTGACTAACATAGTTACCTAAAGCTTATTTCTCCTGGGCTTGAATTGCTTGTTTGCTGCTTTTTCAAATTCTGGCAACCTGGCTTCAAGAAAATATGACACAAACATGTACTATTGTGATCCTTAATAGTAGTGGGAACCCTTCTTGATCCCATTCATATCGACCTGACTTCACATCTGTGTTCAGTGCTGTGCTTTCTGATTTCAGACCATACACCTACAGCACGCCAACCTCCTACAAAAGCTACAATTTAAAATCGACACCAGCAACTTATGAAGATGTTAAGAGCCCAGTTGCTCCTTTAGCCCCAAAATCCACCGGCCTCGTCCCGCCCTGGTTCCAAGTTGTGTTTTTCCTCGTGGTGCTTGTTTTCCTCTACATTATATTCTCCAGCATGGAGTCAAATGAGCCAATGAAAGGCATTGAGTGAAAGTATTTTTTAGATCATGATTACTACTTTTGTTTTAAAGGGTTTTTAATCTTTGAGGATTGTTGTTTGCTCATTGCTATGCGTTTCATGTGTGTGGCTCAGTCTGGTTGTTAGACTACAGGGGCAATGTATTAAGTTAAGGTGCAAGCTTCTATTGTAGCTTCATTTGTGTGGTTTTATCCCAAAAAAATTGTATAATTGCAAGCATGCTTTTGGCCGCTCAACAGTATTGAATGTTGTATTTGTAATTGTGCATGTTTTTCTTATTTACTGTTAATTGTTTAAATGTGTTCAATCTCAACTAATGGGAGGTAGTTATGGTGGTATTCACATCATAGATGGAATATTATATACGGTGTGAAGTCATTGTTTTACACTAAAATCTTTCTATCCAAGTATTTAGAATACAATACTAATTAAAACATGTTTTAAAAACATTTTAAAACAGGTATTCATATTCATTTCTCTAAACTCAATACACCAACACACACTTATTGGTCCACTGGACACATTTTAGAAGCATCACAAATCATCACAAAATAATTTACCCAAAGGTTTTGGACAAGGGGGAGGCCATGGCACATTCGCTGGGAGTTACAAAATGTCTTTTTTTATTTATACATATAGTAAGTAAAATGAGATCAAATAGCAAAATAAATGTCTTAAATCAACATTACAATTAATGTAGCATGTTTCATACTTAATTGTACTGTAAAGTGAGTGTATTGGGTTTGTTGGTTTATTTGGAGATCCCTGCCAGAAATGTTTGGGAACCCCTAACTTTTCTGTTGTTTTTTGCTTTTCACATCACCTCATACAAAATGTATTTTGCCCTAAGAGTGAACGCACTCTTAAAGCACTGGCTGTTAGTGTCATAAATGCACATATCCAACGTAGGCTGCAGCTGTGTCCAGACAGATAACTACTGGTTCTTCAGGAAGAGGATTAAACAGACAGATGTTTCATATCAATAGTTTTTAATGTTTTGGATCAGTATTTACAACAGTTAAACACTTTTTTTAACTCAATAATATAGTTGACAATTTAGGTGATCCTCTTGGGACCAGTGGAGGAACAGGTTTCAAAGGAACCGTTAGTGTAGCTTCAATAAATAAAACAGTGCACTTTTAAACTCAGTCAGACCAAAAAATTATCTTCCCTGTATATTTGTGTGGAACAAAAAGAAACTCAAACCAGTTTATGTACCGTGACTTTACTTTGTTAATCATGAAGTGTATTCAGAAAGTATTCCACTCCCTTCACTTTTACTACATTTTATAATTTCAAAGCCTCATTCATAAATTGAATACATTCAATAATAATAATACTAATTTTATATGGTGCTTTTTGACACTCAAAGACATGGCATTTATTCACCCTCCTGCAAAAGGGTAGCCGTCAGTCACTCCAACCACCAGCCATCATTCACACACACATGCACACCAAACTCATACTGCGAATACACTACAGTTTGGAACTTTAAAGCCGCAGACCTGGTGTTCCCAGAGGTCTCCCATCACAGAAACTAACCAGGCCCTGCTCTGCTTTGCCATTTGATTTGAAATAAAACACCAAAATGTCACATATACATAATGTACTCACAGCCTTAAAATGTAGAAGATGTGAAGAGGGTTGAATACTTTCCGAATGAAATAGTTTATCTAAATACTATCATCAGGATGTCCAGCTCCATAGTGTTCAGTGGCTCTTTCCGATGTGCAGTCCACTGGTTCCACAGCATCCAGATCAGACGTGGACGACGTAACCTGTAGCATCAAGGAGAAAGCAGTGTTATCTAGCTTGGTCTAACCATACCATCCTACTAATTTCATTTTGTACTAAGTAAGGAAATGATAATTGGCCGGAGTTTACGGATACCTAAAGCCAGGCTACAATACATCTTAAGTTTGTCAATTTCAAACAGCGGTTTCAACCTCTTCTTACTCTTACAAGCTCTATAAAGTAAGACGTTAGTAAGAATAGTAGTTGTATTTAGTAGTTAGTAAGAATTAATTTAGCCAATATAAAAATGAGGGGATAGAGCTGTACTCTCATCAACTGCATTTACTGCTGCAGAAAATGTAGCATAAAAAAATATATTTCTTTCTAACCCAACATGAATATAAACAGTGTCAAAATAAAAATAGTAAGTTGTATAATTCATTTTGGAAATTTCAATACTTTTTAATTTATCAATCTCCACATATAAATATTTGGATTGTCAGACTCATCAACTGCAGTGACAGTTTGGAGATTTCTCAGGTGTCAAGTAGTGTCCAAAATAAAAACCCACCTTATTTACAATCCATGGTCATAACTTGTTTATCGATAAGGCAACATAAGTGTTGTCCACACCTGTAACATGAAATCAACATTCAACAGGTAAATCCGCACACATACAAAATCTGCGACCATAAAAACTCACAGGTTCGAGTCTCTCGTGCTAGTTCAGATGGCTTCTTCTGTTTGTTACACAGGAATTTGGCGACAATTAGAATAAAGATGGCAGCTATAACAAACGTGAGGGCTGACACCAGCCAGCTTATCATCAATGGACTCAACAAAGGGTCTGGGTCTGTGGATCAAACAATTTATTTTTTCTTGCTTGCTTTACTTCTACCAGTCTATAATTTCTTGATACTATAAATTTGGTCTCACCTCTGACGGAGATGGGCAGTGGCTGACTCTCTCTGGAGACAAAGGTACGCCCTCCGAGCTGGACCCTGTACAGACAGTAGTAGTAGCCCTCGTCTGAAGTCTGAGCACTGGGAAAAGTGAAAGTAACAAAGGGCGCAGGGGCAGGTAGAGAGTGTCGCACTGTCCCATTGGTGCGGACCAAACGCAGCTGGAAAGATGCTCCTGGATACTGCTGCAGAGTGGAGCAGGTGATGTTGAAATTGTGGCCCCGGATCACTGAGCCAGGCGGTGCATCCAGTGACGTGTTGTACCAATGCTGAGGAGTGAGAAGATCCACTGTGTAGACAACATAATCAACAGTTATTGACAGCACAGGAAAAACAGCTTTCAATGAAATCAACTATAGAATAACAATAATAATCTTGGTAATTCAAACAAAACCCATGGGGAGAAACCATCTGTGTCTCAAACACAACCATGCACAAACAGCAGCAGGTGGGTTTGGTTATGCATGACATGTTCCTGTTCCTCTTTTTGGGAAAACTATGAAATGACATCATCATGCCTTTACATGCCTTACACATGTATGTAGCCCCTCACCTACAGTGATGTTGATGGAGTTACTGGGAGGGGAGTGGAGCAGATGAGCTGGGAAGTTGCCCTTGATCATATAGCGACAACTGTAGCTGCCCTGATGAAACGTCTCCAAATCGGACAGTGTGAGCTCGACCCGGGACTGGCTCTGCTCTACTCTCTGTGTCACTAGAGGAGTCAGCACTCCGTCTTTATGGAGGTGGAAGTCACTGACGTGGGACGGTCCCACCAGAATATGGCAGCTGAAGCGCACGGACTCCCCAACAGAAAACACAGTATGGGGCGAAACCATTGCAAGAGTGGGTTTGAAAAGAGATCCTGAGGAAAAGTACAGAAATAGAGAATGTATCAAATGTAACAGATTTTTAACAACCATATCCCACTTCCATATTGGTTATAGAGCCACAATACCTCCAAATTTTACCAGCTTTAAATAATAACATTACCTGAGCATTTGACCCCTGCATCATTCTGGTGAGTGCATTGGAGGTCACTACCGAGGATAACAGAGCATTGTGACAGACTGGACTCATGTCCAGAACACTGCACATGTTTGATCCAGATCGCAGTTGAGCCAGGCCCAAAAGCTTGTCCCTGGGTGGGGTACTCTGCAAATCCACAGCCCAGCTCCAGACACACCACATGTGCCTCTCTGAAGCCCCAGCCATGGTCACACACTGTTACCCACTGCTTATGACGCAGCACCTCCACGCGACCAGAACATTCATCATCTCCGCCAACTAACCGCAGCCCATCTGTAAGTATAGGATACGAAACATTATTTCGAGCCTTTCAAAAGGACAGTTTGAAATGAGCTATAACAATAATCAGTGAATAACAAAAAATTGAACAGAATAAATGTGTGAAAAAGAAAAAAATATACAAGCCTAAGTCATTTTTAACAAATAAAAAATACTGTAAATAAGTGCAGATATTAGTCCATTTACACATATTTTTATTAGATTGATGCATAATCTTTTTTAAAGGTACTCTACAGTATATTTAAAATATATATCAAAATATACCATTTATTTTATCCTCCCTGTAAAATAAATGAATACAAATAAAAGTGTGAGAGGATAAGCCCAGAGATATGAAACATCCTCAAAATCGCACAAACGTTTTTTCAGTTTCTTTCTAACATTTTAGAGAACAGACACATGATCTATAATTTCATTTTATCCAATCTATTGTAAGTATCATACGCACCAAAACCCATAACTGCATTCCACAGGACACAAGACAGTCCTGAAACAGACAAACAAACTTCATAAATGTGAAATCATATGTACAAGCCATAGACTGTATATAAGCTCACAAAGCACCACCCTGCAGTTCATACAGAATGGTGTCATTATCAGAGCCTCACACCATTCATATTGTGATATCTTTTTAATGATCGTCGCAGGTCAGTTTGCTCAATAGCACATGGGTTAAGATATGCATTATATTTGTGAATAATAGTTCATGTGATAGGCTTTGCCTGTTCTAAACTAAATGTAGTGTTAATCATTAGATATAAATTCAACGACATGTATGGACATACATGTCATCTGCTTTATGGAACAATAGCTTTTTATTATACATACATTACATACACATACATAAATAATCATTGCACTTCCCCTGTTTGAACTATTTGAATCGACAACTTTGTAAAGTCCTCCGAGATAAATGCAGTTGTAATTTAGGACTATAAATTGTGTGGATAAGACATTTGGTGCACAGATTAGCTGCTGTTTACACGGCCTGTAGCTGTCTACAGCGGGTTTACCTGTCAATAGAATGCAGAGACAACTAGGCATCTTGTTCCTTCCATTAGACCGTATGTAAATAAAGCAGGTGTCCTGTGTAGATGGGGCTTAAATGAACTTGCAGTGAAAATGACTGCATCAGAAGCATGAAGGCTACATTAGCATCTAAGCTAGCCGCGGAACATAACGAGTGAAAAGTTTAATATAACGACTTGGGAGATTTGCCTTACATAAATGTGACTACAAACTGTTACCGTACATCGGACATTAAAAATTATCACCTAATGACAGGAAAGGAAAGCATTTAAATCAAGAATCCACTTTGTGATGTTCCGTCTGGACTAACGAGAGGTTAGCAGACGAGATTCTGGGTTGCCAGATAAGAGAGGCAGTCTCCAGGAGAGAACTTTCCATTTGACTCCAGCAAGGCACGAGCACAAGTACGACTTGTAACAAAGACAATGAGGACACATTGAGAAATACATGGGGCAGAATTATCTTTAAAGGTGTTATTTCATTCATAGTGGATACTTCCGCCTTTATGCGGAAAACTGTTCATCTTCATTCCGTATGTGCCCTTCTCCAGAGCCACTGTCCACCACCAGGGGTCAGCATTATCCACTTAACTAATTAACCACACGGAAAACTGACACTGGGGAAATAGTTCCTATTTTTTGATGAATTGAGTTGAAAGGTTGATTTGAGGAGGCTGTTAAGTTTTTCCTTAATGAAATAAGTTGCCTATCAATGATAGGACTATACACACATACATTTGCAACATTTCATTCTGCTAATTACCTCAAATAAAGGAGCTGCAATATGACATTCATATATGTGATGAAAAATTTCAACTTTTATTATTTTTGTGCAAGATCTGTAAACAACAACATTTTATCGAGTAATGGATTTGTTCAAGGTTTTGGTGTTTGATCTTCTAGAAAATGTTGCTATTGCTATAAAGGATGTTGTAATTCTACGTCATGGTGCTACGTCCCTTAGCGGACTTCGCTAGTGGGATATCACGTGACCCCCAGGTCACAGACGCCAGAGAGATCAACAAAAAATGCTCCAATCACTAGCGACCCTCCTCTATAAAGGCCCCTGCTCCATAGCCGCGCCCCCTCTTTCACTCCGGCGCCGATTGAGATCTACCACAGTACTTACTTCATTCTGAGATGTCTTCCATTGTTCGTCCGAGTTCCCCTTCGCCCTCCGGCGTCGGACGTTGTCGCTGGATCCAGACGGTGGAGGACTTCACCTCTGTGGGCGCCACCATTCGAGGGAGGAGGAGGAAACAACCCACGTTGTGCCCGCGGATGGACCCGATCGTCCATTACGCGACACGTGAGTGGCCAAAGCCCCTAGCAGCTAAGAGGCCTGCTCTGGGGTACGGCATGTACTGCAGCGTGCAGGACTGGTCCTGGACCGGTGGTGTCCCGGACATAGAGGACTCAGTCCGCATGGCCCTGCAGCCCTCCGCATCCGTGTGACCCAGCACCAGACCTCTCCTTCCCTCCGAGCGGGACAGGATGTCTTTGGCGATGCTGGACAGATGTTATGCCAATGCGGCTCAGGTCGTCGCATTGGCTAACAATATGGCGTTCATCACGGGGGCCCTGGATAGGTTGCTCTCCTCTGGCCAGGCGCTCAGTGGAGACCTCCTGTCAGAGGCTAGGACCACCTCCGCGGCGATCCTGCGCATGTGCCAGGCGTTGGCCATGGATGGTGGCCGCTCCATGGCTGCAGCCCAAATCGGGGCTAGGCACCTTTAGCTTGGGCTGGCTAATATCAGGGAGGCGGGGAAGAGGCAGCTGCTGGACCTGCCCATCTCCCAGACGTCCCTCTTCGGCCCGGATATGCAGGCCCTGGTGGCGAGACTGGAGTCTGCAGCTAAGGACTCGGTTAGGCTAGCCCCGCACCTAGCACCGAGGCCCACCAGCCATCACGGAGCCGGGACAGAGGCAGAGAGCGTTCGCCCAGGAGGCGTCCTGACCCGTATCCTCGCTCCGTCATCCATCGTCCCCCCTCGACGAGGCCCCCGGGTCCAGACAGACCCACGGGAGGCTCGCGGGAACAACGCACCCACCGCCAGCCGCCAGGTAGAGGAGGCAGGGGTGGTAAGAATTCTTTCAATAAAGGCCGGCCGGCATTTCATCAGTACTCGTTGTCTCATTTGGGGGTATGTCTAATGTGTCTGGATGTGTTACTTCCCGGGCCCATAACGTTGCTCCGCTAGGCCTGCAGCCCCCAGAGCAGGGTGTGCAGTGCGCTACGCGAGCTACGAGCTCTGGTCCTCTGATCCATACTATGCCCTCCCAGAGAGAGGTCAGGCGGAGGGATCTGGTGAGTAGTGGTGTGTGTGCTTCAGCCGAATACGTGCTAGCCCCTCTGAGCTACCAGGCTAGCACGGGGTTTCCCACTCCAGGGGCTCGCCCCCCCCTCCATGAGGCAAGAGCCAGGGGGGGGCGGAGCAGTCGAGTCACATGGCATGAGCAGGCCCGTACTTATGACGTCGGGCCTGCAGGACACGTGACCGCCCCCGGCGCACACGGTATGACGCAGGGGGCCCCCCTGCCCTTTCGTCCACCCCCCCTCCCTGCTAGGAACACCAGGAGAGGGCGGGGCTGTGACGTCTCGTGTTCCAGCTCCCGTTCCGCCCCTCACAGACTTCTACAGCATCTGGAGGGAGCAGGGCTTACTGACGGATCCGTGGCTGGAGAAGACATTGCGCAGGGGTTACGCACTGCAATTCTCCCGAAAGCCACCGCCGTTCCGGGGCGTGCGGGCAGCGCGCTCTCAGGTACGGGGATCGCTAGTGGCACTACAAGCGGAGGTCTCCTCTCAGCTAAGTCGAGGCGCAGCAGTAGAGGTGGACCCACAGGACGCCGCCATGGGGCTCTACTCCCCTTACTTCTTAGTGCCAAAGAAGTCAGGAGGGGTGCGTCCCATTCTGGATCTGCGCACTTTGAACGAGTGCATTTCCAAACGGCAGTTTCGGATGCTGTCCACAAAACAGCTCCTCGAGTGTGTCAGGCAGGGAGATTGGATGTCCTCCATATACCTGACAGACGCTTACTTTCACGTGCCGATAGTTCCGGAACACAGGAGGTTCCTGCGCTTCGCAGTGGGAGAGAGGAGTTAGGAGTACTGCCGTCTCCCCTTCGGCTACGCGCTCGCGCCTCGGACCTTCTCAAAATGCGTGGGGGCGGCACTGGAGCCGCTCAGACGCGCGGGGGTAAGAATATTAACCTATATAGAACGATTGGTTGATACTGGCCTCGTCCAGGGAAGTGGCCGTGAGTCACATGCACTGGGTCCTTTCCCACATACAGTGTCTCGGCTTTGAGGTGAACAGAAAATAAAAAAAGCAGGCTGCAACCGGCTCAGCGCATGATCTATCTCGGCCTGCAGCTAGACTCTGTGACGTTCCGTGCTGCATTGTCCGAGGACAGACGGAGGAACATTACCCGTCTAGCCAGGGAGGTGCTAGCGGGCCCCGGGGTCCCCGCTCAGCGCCTCAGGTCCCTGCTGGGGATGATGGCGGCAGCTCATGCTGTGGTGCGGCTAGGCCTCCTCCACATGAGGAACTTTCAGAGATGGTTCTCATGCCTCAGGCTTCACCCCTCCCGGGACGGGGGGAGGCTGATCTGGGTTCCCCAAACTGCAGCGTCGGACATCAGGTTCTGGCTCACTCCGGGTCTATTGCGGGACGGAGTGACTCTGGTCTGCACCGTGTCTCACGTGGAGGTGTTCACGGACGCGTCACTCGAGGGTTGGGGCGGGGTCCTCGGCCAGAGCTCTGTAGGAGGCTGCTGGTCGGACTCAGCCCGCCACATCAACCTTCTGGAGATGGAGGCAGTACGCAGGGTACTGCTGCACTTTGCTCCTCAGCTGCAGGGGAGACACGTGATGGTGCGCCCTGGTCTCCTATCTGAACAGGCAGGGGGGCACCAGATCCCCCGTCCTCCATCGCATGGCGACGGTGACGCTGCTGTGGGCGGCGCTTCACCTCCTGTCCCTGAGGGCGCGTCACGTCCCGGGTGCCCCCCAGGGGGGGGCCCACTCCAGGACGAGTGGGGCCCCACGGGTAGCTGCGGAGGTCTGGCGGAGATTCGGTCGTCCAGTGGTCGACCTTTTCGCCAGTGCAGAGAACGCACAGTGCCCGTCCTGGTTCGCCTTAAGGGCCGCGGACGAGCCGCCCTTAGGGGTGGACCCCCTGGCTCACTACCCCTGGCCAGGGGGCCTACTGTATGTATTTCCGCCAGTGCGTCTCCTGCCGGTCCTGCTGCGGAGGATCGAACAGGAGGGGAGGTCGGTGATCCTGGTGGCTCCGGACAGTCCACATGCCCGGTGGTTCCCCTTCCTGAGGGGCATGGCGGTGATGGAGCCCTGGGCCCTCCCGGACGAGCCGGGGGCTCTAGTCCAGGGGGGGGGGGGGGCCTGTTTTCACGCCCGATAATCGGCCGCAGGCTTTGGGTTTGGAGGCTGAGAGGCTGAACCTCGTAGACCTGGGTCTTCCCCCGGCGGTGGTGGAGACTATTCAGGGGGCGAGGGCGCCGTCCACTGTGAGGGCCTACGCCACGAGATGGAGGCTCTTCAGCGACTGGTGCAGTTCTCGCTCCTGGGATCCCAGGCGTTGCCCGTTGGAGGGAGTCCTGGGATTCCTGCAAGAACTATTTGACAAAGGGAGGGCTGTCGCCACCTTGGCGGTGTTCGCGGCAGCCATTACCTCGGGTCACGACGGTTTCGGGGGGTTCACAGCCCGCTCTCATCCGTTGGTCAAACGTTTTCTGCGGGGGGCACGCAGGAGGAGGTCCCCGCTTCAGAGAACGCCCCCGGTTTGGGACCTCAGGGTGGTCCTTAGGGGTCTGTCGGGCCCGCCTTTTGAAACGGTGGCGGAGGCGAGTCCCGAGTGTGTTGCTTTTAAGACTGCCCTCTTGCTGGCGTTGGCGTCTGCTAAGAGGGCGGGCGACTTGTGTGCGCTCTCCGTCCATGCGTCTTGCCTGTCCTTTGGAGAGGGTGACAGCCTGGTGGAGTCAGAATGCTTAGGC